ATCGCCAATCGGGCATCACCCTCAGTTATTCCACCTCACATTCAGAGCTTACGCCCCTCAGGTCAGAAATGATCTCTCGGTTTGGTGCCGATCCTGAAGCGGCCAACAATCAAACTACTGAAGGAACTGGACCTTCTAATCCAAGTCTAGACATCCATGGTTTGAACCACCGATCCCAAAGATCAAGCTCCATTCCCCGACGTACCGAACGACCACAAACCGGGGCGGAAAGAAGATATGATACTTCACGCCTTACCACATATGAGATTCGCGCGAATGTCGCTGCTGAACGACTTCGGCGTCAGCGCCAGATTGCCAATGAGGTGCACAACCGCTCCTTTGAAAGGGAACAACGGCATCGCCAGCAGCTTCTCGGGTTTGAGCAAACACACTCTCCGCGTTGGATCAGGAACATAATCAATGACCTCCCTGATCGAAACTCAACGAATGGTTGCGGCGCCGAGGAGCCAGATTCTACTGCTGGAGTTGGCTGGGGCGCTGATGGACGCACATTGTGAGTGTGGAATGCAGCAAATTCGCGGAATTATACTAACGTCTGCAGGTACATCGCCACAATGGAGGGGATTTTTGAGTTCCCACTGAATATTCACGATCGGAAAACATTCCCTATCTTCTCTTGCCGTTAATTTCCTATGCCTGGCGTTACATGGGTTCTCTACCCAACGCCATCGGGTCTCTTTTTCTCATTTACCTTTTTATTCCCTTTTCATTTACCTTCTCCGTCTTTTTTTTTATATATATTATTTTGGCTTCTGACCATGCAGATTCTACAAAGGTCGGAATCTCTCTGAACATCGGATCTACTACTAAACATTGGTTGTTTGCAGTCTTCACTTTGCAAAAAAGGGAACTCATTGCCCTTCCTTGTTTGGGCCTGTCATTGTCATGCTCCCAAAGTCAATACTTTTCTCATATCTAATCGTTCTCATGTTACATACCCTTCGGCGCTTAGGGGCGCACACCATATTGTCTTTATCCCATTTGTCTTTTCCATGTTACATCCATCATTTTTTGTATGACTGATTGAAGTACAAAAAGTTCATTTATATATTTACTTTCTGCCAATACAATCCTGTCCAAATTGAAAGCGAACAAATAAACAAATAAACGAGCAAGAGAAAAATAATTTCAATATATTGTTGTCGTAGCATCCGTCTTCCACGCCACTTATCCTACTTAAGAAGTAGATGTATAACTAGTAGTGCGATATTCAAGCACTTCGCGCCTTGATCTAGAGGTATCGAAATGAGAAAAATTGCATATATGACCCTTTAAAGGTGATCAAGTAGGCTTGTAGTTCAGGCGGGCCTAGTATATTTCGATGACACGAAGAGCTGTCTGGCAATAACTGTCTGTCGATATGAGATATGACTTCGAGAACTATGAATATACGTAGATCTCCTAACAGGCCTAGTTTGGACTATTTCAATACTATGTGAGAAAACACTTGCTTAATCAACAAAGCCTAAACAATGTCGAAGTTATCGAATGTGAGGATAGGTCCTACGATGTACCCGGCATGAATTGTTCAACTTGGGATACGGAAATCTTGTCAACCCAGTAATGTAGAACCGGAGTATTTCACATCGATTTTTTATCTAGGTGTTCGTATTTATATCTACCTGGGTAGATTCTGCAACGCACAGTGTCTCTTTTCCTCTATTTCCCCCACCACCAAAATGCTTCACATTATACCATCTTCAATATATCAGTGTAACAGGTTCCAAAACACTGGCCTTTCAAAAGAACAAAGTAAAATGTTACAGGGGATACAGGAACTTCAAGTTTGCCCGATCAGTCTTATCATGATCACGATCACCAATGTTGACAATCTGGCCACCAGCATTGATCACTTCATCTTGGTCAGATTCGGTATCGGCTTCAGCGAGGAGTCGCTCTCGGTGTCTGTTCTCCCGCTGTAGGTAAAAACGAATGAGAAGACACATCGCAGGCGAGATCAACCAAAATGTAGTCATGAAGGCCCAGGGCAAGACATAACTAGGTTTGTATTTCGATTGCCAGAATCTATATCACACGTTAGTGCCTGTATTCCTTAGGTGTCTTGAGAATAGACTAACTCAGGGGATATCATGTTTGCAACAGAGGCAGCGACAATACAAGAAGACATTAGGCAGAGCTTCTTTGTGTGCCCGGTTGTTGTCGTTCCAGCCCAAGTGAGACCGAGAAGGTAAGATGGCTTGAATGTAGATATCTGGGTGCCAACTACCAGGGCCACCTTGTTTGACCACGGGGATGCGAGCTGAGAAAGAACTAATAAGCAAGAATAAAGATGTCAAAGATGCATGCATTCACTTACCTCAATGATACCGCCAACAAAGCAAGGAATATAGGATATAGCACACGTGTACCCTGTACCGAGGCGTGTACTATAAAGCAAAACGGCGGATCCAATAATCAAAATGAATCCCCAAATTGGCTTTATAATATTGAATAAGGCACTCTCAGCTGGAGTGAAGCCAAATCCGACGACGATAAGCGGGAGCTGTTGGGATGTGTTGTTGGGGAGCTCGTTGAAGAACATGTGCAAGCTGAGAAGAACATTAGCAGTGAACATGGCAGAAGGATGAATGAAAATTGTCTGACATGAATAGCCAACTCTTAAGGTCAGTGAAAGATTCTCGCACCTGCGACCACTTGAACGTCGAGTTTGAGATTCCAGCATGTGTCTCGCGAATGAGTTGGATCGTGTGGACCTTCTCCTCGGTGGAAAGCCATTTAGCATCGAGTGGCGAGTTTGGCAAAAATATCAGGAGAGGAATGAAGATAGCGAAGGTCAAAACAGCACAGATAATATGAAGCCATTTCCATGAGTTGATAGACCCAGCCAAAACTCCCGTATTGTCATCAAGGATGAGTTTGTACGCAATCATTGTCAACATCACATTTGCCATGCTTCCGAATGCCCACCATAAGAGCTGCACCCACGGACTCTTTTTCGGAGGGAAAAACGCTTGATGAAGAATGGCGGTCGAGGGAACAATCTGGGACTCGGTCTGAAAAGGTTAGCTGTATGTAATCCAAGCTTGCGAGGGTGTACTAACCATTCCCAGTAGAAACCGAACAGCCATCATCTGTTTACCGGTCTTAACTGCAGGGTGAACTCCAAGTAACAGGGCCCAGAGGAACAGCGATCCGGTAATAAAGTACTTGTGTCCAACACGTTGCGATATCCAAGCACCTGGCCAAAGAGCGACAAGATATCCAGCATAGAATAGAACGAAGAGGTCGTTGTACTCATTTTTGGTCATCTGGACATCTTTGAAGATACCCATAGTACTGGCCTGAGACAGGGTCGACTTGTCGAGGTGAATAAGAAAGGATATCCACCATGTTTGACTCAGAAGACACCAGAAGTTCTTGCGGACCAGTCTTCCCTCAGCCTCTGGAGTCAAAGGCCCAACCTTGTCCTTGTTTGTGTTGTAGAAATACGTTGTGTCATCGGTGTCGCGTACATCTACCACATGAGGATCATGGGGAGGATTGTCGGGAAGTTCATTGCTAAAAGACTGGGCTTGAACATCGGTCCCTCTCTTTTCGTCAGGGGAAACCCGGCTTGAATCTGAGACTGTCGCAACTTTCTCGGGCGACATTTTCAATCTTGATATTCCTTGATAGAATAGGATAGAATGTAGGATGGTAACAAAGAGCCTCTTCCCATCATTTTATATAACAATATGGCATCAAGCTCGGAGAAAGCCGATATAAGACATGCATTTCCTCAAGGTTCCCAGCAGCCTTTGCCTTTTCTGATTTTGCATTCGCCTATTGCGGCTGAGATAAGTTGGCATAGAGGCACCGTAGTTTCTCCACCTCTAGTGTTACCTAGTTAGGTAAGCCTTAGGACCTTGAGCGCCGGGAGTAAAATGCCAAGACACGGGAGTTTCATTGCCCTCTCTTGGCATGCCCTGCCAAGACGACTTAGTAGCATTGGGGGACCTTGTGAATTTGTGGATGTTTGAGCTTGTTATGCTTGTCGTGCTTGGCTGGCTAGATGAGGTCCACGCGGTATATACGATCAAGGGTACGGTCTCCGGGGCCGACGATTGTAATCTCCGTGTGAGTTCTTATATTAGAATCTTGAACAATGTACTCCGTAGGATTCTTGGATATACATAGAAAAGTCCAGTGTACGGTGTACTCTTTTGTATCGAGGATAAAGAGATCTAGAACTACTAGAGTCTAGGAAAGAGGCTTGACAGATCGAAAACCTGCCCACGCACCCTGTGGACAAGCTTACATAACGCATGAACAACATGAAGCAAAAAGGCGAGGGTGACGTGCACTGATCGTAGTGGAGAGCCTATCTCCCCACTACAATATGTCGCAAGATCTCGACAATCATGCGCTACACATAGTTGGCACATGGCATTATAACTATAAAACCGCCTATACGGAATCACCACGATTATCTGCCACAACACCGCGCACAACCGTGGTCTTTCCGCTGTCCCCTGGATTACACCATATCGAATAGTTATTGTAGGGAGTTTCGGAATATGACTTCATGAGCCAGACCTAGCGGAACAATATATGGACTATGATCTCAGATAATTACATACTTCCTATTGTTATGTGTCTTTTTCCACGCTTCTATACAGGTATTTAAGTGAGGCAATTTCGCTATTGATCAGGATCACCGAGCTCCTGAGCTCCGTCACCCCCCTTATCCATCTATGTGACTTTGTCGGCTCCTGCAATCGCGCGATCGCGCTCCTCCCTGTGAAGTGCTATTGAGTACGCTTCGGTAGAATCCACAGGGAAAGTCTATGCTAATATAGACTGCTCTTACGTTTTTTGAAAATGATCATAGTTTTATACATGTTTATGACAATATGACCGCTAAATGTGCTCTGTAATGCGTATTTTATGGCCAAGAGACAATGTGAAGGTGGGGCCAACTTGGCAAGCCTTTTGAAGAACTTCAACCAACTACCGTTAACTACATAGTTATTCCCAACATGAATTTCTTCTCGCGTGCCCGGACAAATATCTTATCCTGGATGCATGAAACACCACTTCCATCTTCAGATCAAGCATATCCCAAATTTCAGTCGTGGCACCATTTTGATCCTGTCCAACAGTGGATTCCTACTCGCTCAAACAACACAAACGAACCCGCAAAGTCGACGAACAAAGGGGATCCATCGGATCTAGTGCTTCTGACATGGAACATTGATGCAACATCTTCCCGAAGCCAAGAACGTGCTACAGAAATTGTAACGTTCATTACAGGGCTGGATCCGAAGGTCCATGTTGTTTTCTTCCACGAGGTCTCTAGGCCAGCCTTACAGCAAATTTTAAACGACGACCGCATTCGTGGGTCCTGGTTTTCAAGCGAACGGGATGATACTTCATGGGGAAAACAGTCCTTTGCAACGATGATCCTGGTATCCAAGGCACGTTTTGGGTTAGATTCTGACTCGGGGATGAGCAATGCCACTCTAGGTCCTATTTGGCGGGTAAAGTATCCCAGCCACTTTGATAGGGATGCACTATGCTGCGACATCTTTGCTTTTTCACCTGGAGAATCTGAGCCTTCTTCTACTACAAGAATACGGCTTGTCAATGTTCATCTGGATTCTCTACCAATGAACCCTTCCCATCGACCTCGGCAAATCTCTATTGTCTCTTCCTTTCTTTGCGCCGCGGGCCGTGGGCTAGTAGCTGGCGACTTCAATCCTGTTCTCAAGGATGACGCCACTCTTATTGAAGACAATGGCCTGATGGATGTCTGGACATCTCTTCACTCCGAGGATCCTGGTTATACATGGGGAGTAGATGGGGAGCAACCGTTCCCGCCAAATAGGCTTGATAAAGTTGCTGCTCTAGGGCTTAGTCCTCACAGTATCAAAACCTTGAAGCCAAAACGACTCAGCAACTTGGACGAGTCTAAATCTCAACAGGCTGGACGCACAGAAGAAATACCCTGGAGTGATCATCATGCCTTGCTTTGCTCCTTCGGACTATTTGCAAAGTAAGCAAAATTCTCTGTATCGAATTTAGCTACCTAATGTCTGGTCATGGAATGAAATAAATTGTGAAATCAGATTGCGGGCGGAAGAGGCGAAACATACATGGATTGTCAAGGCCCGGGGATAGATGACACTGCAAGACTAGCGGAATTTCTGCGAGATGCTGGGATCCCATCGGCGCTCTGGGGGGTGAACGCTGCTGGATGCTATGGGGGAGGACTTCGTCCGTTGGTATGTCGTTTACAGCCTTGAATATTGACTTGCAGAAGCATAGCTGACAGGCAGTCAGGATATCGAGATTGTCATCCACGAAGCTGATCAAGCAAGGACATATGAATTATTATGTTCTTATGGATGCCGGCCGTCACGGCCCCTGTCCGACGAATCTGCCCCTTGTCTAGACGACTTTGAAAAATGGTGTGGGCTGGCTCTGCATTACAAATACTATGATCGTCGCCTACGTATCTGCACGCCTATTTATGAGCTCCCAAAGACCGGAGATTCATTCAACGACTCATTTCATCCAATTATTATTGTTTACACCGCGGAAAGAGTGGGATTGCCAGCAGTTCCGCCACTATCACAGATAGAGGCCTGCACAGACAGCATAAATAAGATATCAAGCCTCAAAGAGGCAGCAAGCAGCCAAGAGGGAAAACGCCGTCGTGATTACGTTTTAATCAGCTGCCTTCCTCATTATATATTGGGCTCTCATGAATCCCAATCGAGCCTTCTGGCACCCGAGTTTAGTCTCCTTGTGCAGTCAACTTTGCATATTCTTTTATAGCTCGCTACAAGCTCCCCTGCCTGGGGCCAATACATGGCTCAGCTCTCGGAATTGGTTCACTCACCTGGTTGTGAAAAGGGAGCCGACTCTTTGCATGAGATTGCAAAACCCACGCAAGTAAAATTCGCACAGTGGATCCAATTGGACTTGAAAGGGGAGGGTGATCAAGAAAGCTTACGCAAACTTCGAGCCGATCACCGTCATATATGTTAAGATGCGCATGGGAGCTACCTCCGTATAACAAATCAATGGAGACACAGTATAAAATTCGTTATACCCAGGTCTTCGTTAAATCAAGGTGCCATATGTTGAGAATCCCCCACGTCCTTATGAACTAAACACCACGTAAACTATCTACCCAGCAGCCTTTGCCTTTTCTGATTTTGCATTCGCCTATTGCGGCTGAGATAAGTTGGCATAGAGGCATTCGCCGTAGTTTCTCCACCTCTAGTGTTACCTAGTTAGGTAAGCCTTAGGACCTTAAGCGCCGGGAGCAAAATGCTAAGACATAGGAGTTTCATTGCCCTCTCTTGGTATGCCCTATTAAGACGACTTAGTACTATTAGGGGACCTTATGAATTTGTGGATATTTAAGCTTATTATACTTATCGTGCTTAGCTAGCTAGATAAGGTCCACCCGGTATATACGATCAAGGGTACGGTCTCCGGGGCCGACGATTGCAATCTCCGTATAAGTTCTTATATTAGAATCTTGAACAATATACTCCGTAGGATTCTCGGATATATATAGAAAAGTCCTATGTACGGTATACTCTTTTGTATCGAGGATAAAGAGATCTAGAACTACTAGAGTCTAGGAAAGAGGCTCTCGAAAACTCCGTGTATGCGCGAGGAAGAGAAGAGACTATCTACCAATCTGGAGCCGTAAATACCACCTACATAAACAATTCAACGACAGCTAAACTTCAAATTATGTCTCGTATGTACCCCCTATCGTCAAAGTTTGCTTCTATTTTAGTGCAAACACATTGTAGGTTGGCTAGTTGGGTGTTGGAGTCTGCATCACTAGCGCAGGAAGTACCCACCCTGTTGGAGTAAAAGTCCGTCAAACATGGCTGAGCGCAGGTGGGAATGCTTTCTAACCAGGAGTTGAAGTAGTCAAGTTTTGCACCTGCAGCAACAAGGCTGAGGATAAACGTGATAGTGATAGAAAGTAACAAACGATGCATCTTGAATGAGGATGAAATGGGTTGGGAGTGAAGTCACCTATTTTTCGACCTACCCATCAGTTCTTATATGTGGGAAGGGACAGGTTCTAGTCCTGAAAATTTCCCCAAAGTACATGTGATTACCTAGGTAATTATTCAATTTATTCAATCTGAGTTCGTGGCTTAAAGGTGGTACTGCCGTACGCAGCGGTATAGGTGCCATGCGATAAAATCCCCTTTTCGGGTATTATTGATGTCTGAATTAAGACTGGTAGTTTATATATCACCACTTTTTATGATGGTTCATAGCCTATAAGTATGAGAATAGCTTTACCTTTGTACTTAAGAGCAGAGAGCTGATAGAACTCCCTAAAACTGGTGACATACTATTAGATATTAGAACAGTTGGTGGCTTATGATGTTCTTTTTAGTCTGTTTAGATACATATATGAAGGCGATAAAAAGCAGTACTTCCTGCAGACGACTTTCTACATACATGTATGTATGTAATTCTATTTTTATGTAGTAACCAAGCACTCATGGGGTTTTGTCACATGGCACCTATTCCGCTGCGTAGGACCGAAAGGTCTGCTTTACAATTCTGGAATTACTTCACATCCCACCCAATGTGCGAGTAACTCCAGTGACAATAAATGCTTCAATTTGCGGTAGTACCTGTCACCGTGGGATAATCTGGATCATCGAACGAAAACAGCGAGGATATGGGAGTTGACGATGAAAATAAGGGCAAGTGACTCCATGCTACGTTATCCTCCATGTCAATGTGCTCTTATTCTGGTCAGTTATTTCATTGTGTGAGACTACTCAAATCAATGGTTCGGTCATTAGCACAAAGGACTATTTGTGGCACATGTAATGGTCCATCATGTGCTGGTGTCCCTCGGACTCTCTCCATAGTGGCGGATTAGAATACGAGTGCCTCGTCACTCACGGCTTTACGGCTGTAAAAACGTTGAAATGGAGAGGCTTTTGTTTGAGCTGTCTCTTAATGCTGACAGGATTACAATGCCAAATCCGCGTAAATCTCCAGATAGATACTGTAGTAACTGTACTATGACCCACTATTGTCCGGTTTCTTGGCTGTCAAGCCAGTTCCTGATGTCGAATAATCCATCTTCTGGCTATGATTGCAAATTTTCAAGCTAGAATGACCACTGGGACTGTAAAGAATACTTCAACATTATTGGCGTTTCTGGAAGTTTGAAACCCATGCTTCTCCTGTCTCTTTTTGTCTCTTTATTTTTGTACCTTTATCTTTTTTTTGTTCGCGGTGTTACGGTGTTGTGGTTGTAAAAAGACGATTAAAAAAATAATAATTTCAAGGGTAGAAGTGCCACTATGAATGGGAATAATCGTACAGGGTAAAATAAACATGCTAGGTTTATCATTCTATCACAGTATAAGCATAACCCGTACAAAGGACTTGTATATGTATGAAAGAGATATGAAAGAGATGGCCACCCTTTTAACAATTTTCCGTAAATTTTAGTCTCGATTGGCAATACATTATGTTATAGGTGTTGTAGGTGTTGCTGTGTTGCCCTGAATGAGAACCCCACACCAGCATCGACGTCATGGATACTGCCGGTCTGTACCGCCTTGAGTGTTATTGAGAGAAGTTGACCGGTTGGCCTGTTGCTGCACGAGCTCCTCTCAAATCCCTTCAAACTACTTCGTCAGACTCACTCACATCATCAATTTCATCAATTTCATCCGTTAAATTTGCCATTCCTCTCAAGGAAAAGCTTTTCTCTTTGCGCCAGAACTTGAAATCGATACACATTATCGGTGTGGGGTTCGGCCAATGCCGAGTCGAACATCCACATAATTTCACCTCACCGGTTGACTCTTCAACACGGGTGCTACACATAATTTCACCTCACCGGTTGACTATTCAACACGGTGCTACACATAATTTCAACTCACCGGTTGACTCTTCGACCCGGTGCTACACACCATGGCGGACTCACTGGGCTCATCAATGAAGAAGTTAGACCTAAAAGGCAAAGACTTCGATCCTTCGGCCTTCGATGCTCGTCTCGCAGACGAAGAGAATGGCGAGATCGAGAACTTCCAAGCTCGGAAGCAAGCTCCTCAAAGTGCCCAAGAGTTGCTAACAGAGCTTGAAAATGAGTTTCTGAATCCATCAGACAAATTCAGCACTAAATGGCTGAATGACCTCCAAAGGTAAGCAAGTATCAATTTTTTTCATTTGCGGGGCAGCTTTTTGACAGCTTTGACAGACGATGGGACGTTTCGACAGATTACGCAGACCTCTTCGAACTCGCGCCAACCCAAACACGGACGGTGACTCGTTTCACGCGAGAGGGACTGGAAGGACGCGTTACTGGATATCAAGAGGTCACTGTTCCTGCTGCAAGTGCAACAGCCAAGAACTCCACCTCGCTTCTCCGCCGACCTGCTGGCCGCGCCGAGTTTGTTAGAGGTGCCGCAGGTTTCTTTCCTTTCGCCCCCGGGGGGCTTGGACGCCATCGAGGCCTTGGCAGCAATGGAGGCCGAGGATCAGGTCACAGAACAGAAGAACGGGAAACAATCTGGGCTCGATCGCATTATTAATTTTGGCACCGAGGGAGGTCTTCTGACCACACCCCCTGGCTTCGATAACGGTGTTGATTTCGATGAAGCCAAATCCAAAGACGCCACCGAAAGCGCCCAAGAAGTCGAAACCGCCCTTCTTCAAGAGGACAGCGACCTCAAAGTGGATCAACCCGAGGAAACTGCGGATGTCGATACAGGAGCAAAGGCCGAGCTTGACGATGTTAGCGAAGATGAAGATGAAGAAGATATTGACGCTTTGCTACCGGTTGAGTTCCCGGCATTGGAACCGCGTAGCCAGTTGCTCGCAGGAATCCACAAGCAAAAGAATAAAGAATGGGCCCACGTTGTCGACATCAACAAGGATATTCCGAACTTCAATGAATTGGTTCCCGATATGGCCAGAGAGTGGCCATTTGAGCTCGACACTTTCCAGAAGGAGGCTGTTTACCATCTCGAGAATGGTGATTCAGTGTTTGTTGCGGCCCATACTTCCGCAGGCAAGACAGTTGTGGCTGAATACGCAATCGCCTTGGCTGCTAAACACATGACCAAAGCGATCTATACGTCTCCCATAAAAGCTCTAAGCAACCAGAAATACCGTGATTTCAGAACCGAATTCGACGACGTCGGTATTCTGACCGGTGATGTTCAAATCAACCCGGAGGCCAGCTGTCTCATCATGACCACTGAAATCCTGCGAAGTATGCTGTACCGTGGCGCTGATCTCATCCGCGATGTTGAATTCGTCATTTTCGACGAGGTGCATTATGTGAATGACCTCGAACGAGGAGTGGTATGGGAAGAAGTCATCATTATGCTTCCGGAGCATGTCACATTGATTCTTCTCTCTGCCACTGTGCCTAATACCCGGGAGTTTGCATCCTGGGTCGGTCGTACAAAGAAGAAGGACATTTATGTCATTTCAACCCATAAGCGACCTGTCCCACTGGAGCACTATCTCTGGGCCGGGAAGAGCAAACACAAGATCGTCGACTCTAACAAAAGATTCCTTGAAAGCGGCTGGAAGGAAGCGAATGATATCTTGTCCGGCAAAGATAAGGCCAAAGCTATGAAGGAGGCCGAAGCTCAGGCGCAGTCGGCGCAAGCTAGAGCACCAGTCCCTCAGGGCCGGGGACGCGGTCAGCCATCGAATATCAGAGGTGGCCGCGGCGGCCCACAGCGTGGAGGTCCACGAGGAGGTCCACGAGGAGGTCCACGAGGAGGTCCACAACGAGGTCGGGGACAGGGCGGCGGACAGTATACCAACCGAGGAACAGGCAACATTGCTCGTACAGGCCGTGGTGGTGGTCGTACAAGTGCGGCCCAAGACAAAAACACCTGGGTGCATCTTGTTTCGCATCTTCGCAAAGAAGACTTGCTGCCGGGATGTGTTTTCGTTTTCTCTAAGAGGCGATGCGAGGAGAACGCAGATTCATTGTCAAATCAAGACTTCAGCAATGCTAGCGAGAAGAGTTTGACACACATGTTCATCGAGAAGTCACTCACCCGGCTGAAGCCCGAGGACCGCACGCTACCACAGGTTCTTCGCCTTCGTGAGCTACTAAGCAGAGGTATTGCTGTACACCATGGCGGTCTCCTGCCCATCATGAAGGAGGTTGTTGAGATTCTTTTCGCTAGGTCTCTTGTGAAGGTTCTGTTCGCCACAGAAACTTTCGCGATGGGTCTGAATCTTCCCACCCGAACTGTGGTATTCTCCGGGTTCCGCAAGCACGACGGCAAATCCTTCCGTGACCTCCTGCCCGGCGAATATACGCAAATGGCGGGACGTGCTGGTCGTAGAGGTCTTGACACGGTGGGATATGTTATCGTGACAAACAGTGGAAAGGACGAGGCCCCATCTGCTGCGTCGCTGAAGCAGATGATCCTTGGAGACCCGACAAAGCTAAGGTCTCAATTCCGACTGACATACAACATGATACTAAATCTGTTGCGTGTGGAAGCCCTGAAGATTGAGGAAATGATCAAGCGGAGTTTCAGTGAAAACGCAACACAAGCTCTCTTACCGGAACAAGAGAAGCAAGTACAGGTATCTGAGGCCAGTCTTGCGAAAATCAAACGGACACCATGTGAGATCTGTGACCTGGACTTGATGGCTTGCCATAATGCCGCCATGGAATATCGAAAGCTCACAGCTGAATTCCACACCGAACTGCTATCATCGCCTGTCGGCAAACGTCTTTTCACAACGAAGAGATTGGTTGTGTACCGCAAGGTGAGTTCACATGTTCTGTTGTGGTAGTAAGTGATGGGAGAATGCTGACATGATTGATAGGACGGACAACGCACTGCTGGTGTTATTACGCGCGACGGGGTTTCCGCGGGAGTCATCGGGGCAGTGCCTTGTATCCAAGTATTTGAGATCGGAACCTTGGATAACAAGCGGCACCCCACCGATATTCTTCCATTCTTGCCTATGTTCCGACCCTACTTCCAACCACTCCCTAACCGCGTCGATGACATGAGCCTTCGAGTATGCAAGATCCCATTGTCCGACGTTGAGTGCGTGACAAACACCCTGGTTAGGATCACAAAACCAATGTGGTATCTAAACATCAAGAAAGGTAAGAGCATGTTTGCTTCTTTTTACATATAGGGTTGTCAAAAGTACTAATTTAGGAACAGAGTCAACCAAGTGGGCTGAAATTGAACTGTGCCAGTACACCAACTCCTGGATCCATACGGGTTGGGGTGAGATTGACTGGCAGCGCATCAAAGAGATGGAAATTCGCGATATCCTCGACAAACGACAAGCTCAGGCAGAGATTGCTCAGTCATGCCACTGCCTACAATGCCCTGATTTCGTGAAACATGTGAGTGCCTTATTTCTATTCGTCTGAACCCTATACTAATGTCAAATAGTTCGAGATGCAACATGACGAGTGGCAAGTTAAAGAAAACATCTCGGAGTTGAAGCAACTAATGTCCGACCAAAACCTTCAACTACTTCCAGATTATGAGCAGCGCATTCATGTGCTGAAGGAGCTCGGATTTGTTGACGAACAATCTCGTGTGCAACTGAAGGGCAAGGTGGCATGCGAGATTCACTCCGCCGACGAGCTGGTACTGACCGAATTGGTTCTCGAGAACGTTCTTGCTGAATACGAACCGGAGGAGATTGTCGCACTCCTCTCTGCATTTGTGTTCCAAGAGAAGACAGAAAGCACACCCACCCTCACTCCTCGTCTGGAGAAGGGCCAGAAGGAGATCGTTCGTATCGCCGAGAGAGTTAATGATTTCCAAATCCTGCACCAAGTCATTCAGTCAAGTGAAGATTCCAACGACTTTGCTAGCAAGCCCCGCTTTGGTCTCGCCGAAGTTGTCTATGAGTGGGCCAAGGGAATGTCTTTCAATCGCATCACAGACCTCACCGATGTGATGGAGGGTACTATTGTTCGGGTGATCACCCGACTGGATGAGACTTGTCGTGAAGTGAAGAATGCGGCCAAGCTGGTCGGCGACCCAGCACTTCACACTAAGATGCAGAAAGCTCAGGAGTTGATCAAGCGCGATGTCATCTTCGCGGCCTCTCTTTACATGTGAAGAAGATACTCAATCCTTAAGGGGGTTATATGGTTTTAATGCCTGTGCCCCTATTGGGTAGTCATGAGGCTCTCCACTGATGGAGGAGGATTCACCACAATTGTATGTAAACCAATACGAAGCAATGAACATGAAAGTATTAAATTCCATTGAATTTAAAATATAAACCCCGTAATACTCTATAGAAAATAATCCAAGTAAGACATCAACCCCCAAATGTTACCCAAGCCCATAGTCATAGTTCATAGTTCTTAGGAAAATCCGTGTGTGCGGCCTCTGATTAGCTGCGGGGCGACCGCCTCCCCGAGAAGTCGGGAAAATCGAAAAAAATCCCCCTCCTCTTGCAAGAACAACATCTTCTCTCCCCTTATCTTCAAGATCCATACGATCTATTTAGGACATTCACGTCCTTTCAATCCTTGACTCTTTCCCCTCGCCCGTCTTCCATCGGCGCCCGTCCGCGTCTCCCCCGGGGTTCTCAGTTTATTTGGAGATTTTTTTTTGACTTTTGGTGTTGGGGGATTGTTGCGCGATGGATGTCACAGCCCTCCGAGATCGCATTCAGTCTACTCTAGACGCGAATGCGGATATTCGCCGGCAAGCGGAGCTTGATTTGAAATATGTATGTGCTAGATCGACTGGCGGGGCACCGAACGTCAGGCTCACACGTGGTTGAATATCTAGGCCGAGACGCAACCCGGTTTTATCAATGGACTCCTGGATATATTGCAGGGCGAGCAGAACAATGCAGTCCAGCTCTCCGGTAAGTCTTTGGATGTTCATATTGGTTCGCGAAGGAACTTCTGTCTCTTACTGACCCCGCTCTTTCCTATAGCTGGTGTATACCTGAAGAACCGTATTACCCGTGGATGGGCCCCCGTCGAAGATAGCCCGCAGCGTTCGCCCATTCCTGAAGCCGAGAAGCCCAGTTTCAGGGAGAGACTTATCCCTGCCTTGGCCTCGACGCCTCCCAATGTCCGTAATCAACTGGTTCCCCTCCTCCAGAAGATCCTCCAAAACGATTTCCCCGAGCAGTGGCCCGGATTCTTGGATCTTACTCTGCAGCTTCTTGGCACCAATGACGCAAGTACGGTCTATGCGGGTTTGCAGTGCCTTTTGGCTGTCTGCCGCGTCTACAGGTTTAAGGCCGGCGAGAAGAGAGAGGAGTTCGACAAAATCGTGGAGCATTCATTCCCCCAGCTGCTCAGCATCGGATCTAAGCTTGTTGATGAGGAAAGTTTGGAGGCTGCGGAGATGCTCCGTATTGTGGTGAAGGCTTTCAAGCACGCAATTTACGTCAGTTACACCCTGATTCTAGTCTGCGCGTGGCTAAGCCATTTATACTGACTGCTTGCGGATTTAGTTTGAGCTTTCTCCATGCCTACAGACCCACCAGGCAACTGTGGACTGGTGTACACTATTCCTTCGCATTGTCGCGAAGGCACCCCCTGCGAGCTCAATGGCAGACTCGAAGGAGGAGAGGGAGATGAACCACTGGTGGAAGTGCAAGAAGTGGTCCTACGCCAACTTGAACCGTCTATTCATCAGATACGGCAACCCCACCACGATCACGAAATCTTCTACCCCCGACTACACACCGTATGCGAAGACCTTTATCAGCACTTTCGCCCCCGAAATTCTCAAGGGGTACCTGACGGAGATCGACAAGTGGGTGTCCAAGACGCAATGGCTCAGCAACTCCGCACTTTCATATACTTTGGTCTTTATGGAGGAGTGTGTCAAGCCGAAGGCCATGTGGGATCACTTGAAGCCGCACATGGACAACCTGATCGCCCACTTCGTTTTCCCTATCCTGTGCCAGTCTGACGAGGACATTGAGCTTTTCGAAGAGGACCCATCCGAGTACCTCCACCGCAAGTTGAACTTCTATGAGGAAGTGTCCGCTCCCGATGTTGCCGCCACAAACTTCTTGGTTTCCCTAACCAAGAACCGCAAGAAGCAGACCTTCTCCATTCTCACATTCGTGAACAGTGTTGTTAGCAAGTATGAGTCTGAGCCGGAGGAGCAGAAGCAGCCTAGGGAGAAGGAGGGTGCTTTGAGAATGATTGGATCGCTTGCTTCCGTCATCCTAGGCAAGAAGAGTCCGATTGCCGACCAGGTCGAATACTTCTTCGTCCGTCATGTTTTCCCCGAATTCCGCAGTCCTCACGGCTTCCTCCGTGCCCGTGCCTGCGACACCCTGGAGAAGTTCGAGCAGCTCGACTTCAAGGACCCGAATAACCTCATGGTTATCTACCGAAACATCCTCGAGTCCATGACCGATTCCGAACTTCCCGTGCGAGTTGAGGCTGCCCTTGCTCTGCAGCCCCTTATCCGTCACGATGTCATCCGTACATCGATGCAGCAGAACATCCCCCAGATTATGCAGCAGCTTCTCAAGTTGGCCAACGAGGTCGATGTGGATGCCCTGGCTAACGTCATGGAGGACTTTGTTGAGGTCTTCTCTGCCGAGCTTACTCCCTTCGCCGTCGCATTGAGCGAACAGCTCCGCGACACTTACATGCGCATTGTTGGTGAGCTTCTGGAGCGTAACGCCTCCAAGGGTGGTGACGAGGATGGCTACGGCGATTTCTTGGACGACAAGAGCATCACCGCTCTGGGCGTTTTGCAGACCATCGGCACTCTCATTCTCACACTCGAGAGCACCCCTGACGTGCTTCTACACCTCGAGACCATCTTGATGCCAGTCATCAGCATCACCCTAGAGAACAAGCTTTATGGTAAGTTTTTTAATCCATTGATATCAAATCCAGCTCTAATTGATTATTCTAGATCTCTACAACGAAATTTTCGAGATCATTGACAGCTGCACATTCGCATCCAAAACCATTTCCCCGTCCATGTGGCAAGCCTTCGAGCTGATTCACAAGACGTTCAAGGCTGGTGCTGAGTTGTACCTTGAAGGTATGAGGTTCACATCAATTCCCGCGATTTTGAACTTTGATTGACTTTTATGCGTGCAGATATGCTCCCTGCCCTTGACAATTATGTCGCTTATGGCTCCGATATGCTGGTTCAGAACCCAGCTTACCTGGACGCTATGGTCGGTATGGTGCAGGACATCTTCTCTGACGACAAGGTTGGTGGTGTTGACCGCATCTGCGGGTGCAAGCTTGCTGAGACCCTGATGCTCAACCTTCGGGGTCACATTGACCAGTATATCCCCATGTTCATTGAGATGGCCATGCGGGTTATCGATGCCGGCGAGGCACGCACCAAGTCTTACCGCATCCACTTGATGGAGATGGTCATCAACGCCATCTACTACAACTCAGCTCTCAGTCTTCAGGTTATGGAGGCCAAGGGCTGGACCAACAAGTTCTTCAGCACCTGGTTCGCTAACATCGACAACTTCAGACGTGTGCACGACAAGAAGCTGTCAATTGCCGCAATCAGCTCGCTGCTTACTCTGAAGGCTACTGATGTTCCGGTCAGTGTCCAGCAGGGATGGCCCAGACTGTTGCAGGGTGTGACGAGACTCTTCCAGACCCTACCTGCTGCTCTTAAGCGTACGTTTCCCCCAATCTCCCGTCGTGTTCCCCAGAGGCTAAGAATTTATTCAGAACGTGAGGATGCTACGAAGGAGTCCGACTTCACCCTCGATGATGAGGATGATTTGGATGACGAGGACAATGACTGGGATGGAGATGTTGAGTGGGACGAAAACGAGGTCGAAGCAGCTCTAGAGGAAGATGACGTGCCCGACGAGAGTGCCGCTTACCTCGACTTCCTCAGCCAGGAGGCTCAAAAGTTCGGCTCCTACACCGATGATGACGATGATGACATGGACGAGGAAAGCCTTCTGGAGACCCCTCTGGACAAGGTTGAGCCATATGGCATGTTCAAGCATGTTCTGCTGAGTAAGTGACCTCTGTGAGAGAATTTCCTTCACGTATCACCCGCTAACCTCATTTCCAGGCCTTCAACAAGAACAGCCCCAGCTGTACGAGAGTCTGACCAAGGTTCTCGGTCCCGAAGAGCAGCAGGTCATTCAAGGCGTCTTCCACGAAGCCGACGCCAAGGCCATGGTCGCCGCTGCCAACGCAGATGCCGCCGCCGCGGCGGGCATGCAGGCCAACGGCAACTAAGAGACTATAACCGAGATGGATTGAGAAAAACAAAAACACAGCTTCGAGTTTCCAACGCCTCGGACGTCTAGTCTCACATTTCTTTCTCCTTTCCACATTTTCCCTCACGAGACCATATGCCCATTTCATGTCTTTCCCGCTTCTTTAGATCATGTCCCATCTGCTCTGTACCTCCGTGTTTCTTTCGCCATGTCTTTTTCCTGTCATGCTCTCGCTGATGTACTCTTAAAAGTCCTACCCGTGGACATTCTGCTCGAGGGCATCTCCCCTCCCACCCCGCCTTCTAATCCTCTTCGATGCACAGATTCCCCTGAAGACACCCTTGTTTCCTCATGATATAGTACATCAGCCATGCTACGAATGTTGGATTCCAGTTCTGGAGCCTGTAGTCTCGTAGGTACCAGCCACATAGGTGGACTGGGAACTGAATCTATATCTTTAACACCTTTTAAGACCACTCATGTAGATATACACCCAACAAGGCACCCAGAACATGGAAGAATGATTTCTTCAACAATATGGCCCGTAAATATGGTCTTGAGAGCAACACCCTCAACCCCTTTAGGCCACTGTCGTCGTGGGATGGCTCGGTGATCGAGACAAGCTTTCGACCCTTGTGTGAGTACTGAAGGCTCTCAATGCCGAAGCTCACTGGCATGATGTACTTATACGAACCCATTATCTGGAAACCGTCTAGATGAACCCTCGCCACACCACCCTAGAGCTGGAAATGGCAGTCGGCTTGAATGTCAAGAACCAGTTGGTCCGAGTGGCTGGAGGACTTATCAGGCAGGGATGGGTCATGAACATCAAGTCATGTGTCTCACCAGTTTACTAGTAGGTTGTCACCGAGGAAATCCATGCACTGGCACTCACTCCATTACCTCCAAGAACGTTTCCACCTACTGTATCGCCAAGCTGATGTGATATGAAAACAGTGTAAAAGCAAGATGTGAGGTCGAAACAAACGTGATGGATGACGTCATATGCCTGAGAGGCAATTATCCGGTCCGGATGTCGGTGCGGCTCACTTTTGGGACCAACTTGATGATCCGTGTGTATCTATGTTATAAGACAAGGCAGATTCTAGAGTCATTCATGAGATAGAAGAAGTACTTTGGGGTCCTCTTGCTCTTGCTGTCATAGTCTTTCCATGCACTTTCGATTTCAATACTGTATAGTACATCACTGGGCAGGTAGAATGACAATGCAATGGATGGAAATGGGCAATTGACCATGTGTAATACTAGCTTGCTATGTTATAAATAAGGCTGATATTTGGAAAGCAAAGAAATTGAGGAAATAGTGCTGTACTGATGTGCGTATAGTAAGGATCTATGGCTATATACCCTCGTAGTACAACCTGCAATTCAAGATTCGAGTACAGTCCAGCGTTGAAATACATGGTACTTTGTACTTTGTATGTCGTTGTCGTTGTAATAGTTATTGTAATTATTGTAGTTATTGTAGTGATAGTAGTTAACATCAATATCATGTTAGAATGGAGGCCACTCCAGAACGTCATGATGATGAACCCTAACCGGTTTAGAAACGTCAGGTTGATTTTCCCCAAATCAAATAAAAGGAGCATTCCTTCGTACACTTTTTATTGTTTAGACACAATTATTGTACATCCATACTACATCAACTACATCAACTACATCAATTGAAGGTCAGTACTATCAAGATCACCATATCATCTCATACTTCATTTCCCTAATCCCTCTCTTTAGTACATCAAGTACATCAAGTATATCAATCCCAATCCTACAATCTCTACAATGTCTGCTCCCTACTCCGGCCGCCAATCCCCCCTCCGGAGCGCCAATCTGGTGCCCAGCTGCAGGATACCCCCGGCTCTGGCAAGACCGACGTCGGCAAACACCCAGCACCTGAGTTCTCGGAACATTCGTCAGAGTCCTTCAGGGACAATGTCCTGACGAGCAACCCCGAACACCCGCTAGAGAAGATTGAGGCGGACAAGTACACCAAGGGAAAACAACATTGAGATAGGGTATTTCTTGGAAGGATACTTGTTTTCTTTTTTGGAATTTTGGATAATGATATCATGAAGAATAAGCTGAAATAACTATTCTGTTTTTGAGTTATGTACTTAGTAAAACAATACATTGGATCTTGGGAGTGAAATCAATTTTTATGTCCATTTGTATTGCTTATTGGGAGATCCGTAGTTACCAAAGGCTTTACTTGTAACAAGTGCCCATATCACACAGGCAGAAAGAGAAAAGAAAAAAGAAAAAGAGCTATGAACACTGCATGGCATGGCATCGTGAGAAGTAAAAAGACAAAGCAATAGACACAAAGGAAACACACCCAACACAGATATTCATGTCCTCATTAAGTTAAGATCTCAATCCTAGGAACCCTTACACCTTCTCAGAGGGCGCAGCAGCAGCCTCAGTCTGAGAAGGAACAGCAGCGGGCTCTGCAACAGTAACACCAGGGGCAGCAGCAGGGACAGCAGCAGGAGGGACAGCAGCACCCTCCGCCTCACCAGCCTTAGCCTGCTTCAGATCCGCCAGACGACGAGCCTCAGTGTGAATATCACGCACCTGCTTATCAGTCTGAACATAGAAGTCACGCAGCTTCTGACCGGATGGGTGCTCCAGAGCCTTCTCGAAGTACGAGCTCAGGCCGCGCCAGCCAGTAGCGGCTTTAGTGGAGATCTTGTAGCTATCATCGATGCCGCGAGCGCGCTCGGTGGCATTGTACTTCTTATCGAAGTTTGTAAGGGCCGACGTGAAGCGGTTCGAGACTCCGTGCTTCTGGTCCAGCGCGATCGCTTTCATGATCGCATTGTCGCTCACAACGTACCCGTGTGCCAGGTACTCGGCGACAATGCGGGATCGGGGCTTGTCTTCTTGTGCGATGTGGTTCTCTTCTTCCTTGGTTTCGGTGCCTGTGCCGGTTGCTTGGGAGCCGGCTAGGTCTTCGATGTTGTGGGCTGCTTCGACGTGCACGGCGGAAGTGCCAAGTTGGGTCTGATCAAGGAGGAGCGCAGTTTTAGCAGCACTGTCGGGAAGAATTGGGTTAGTTTTTGGTTTTTCATGTGGGCTGATTGCGGGTGCGGGGGTAGCTTACGCCTCCTTTTCAAAGGTCACAGTGGCGGACTTTTGAGCATCGGCTTCACCAGAGACTGGGGTGATTGAGAGAGTAACAATCTTTCCACTGTTTCAAATTAGCATGTTGTCAAATAGTTAAAGTAATAATTGTGACAATGTACCAGAAACTGAAGAAGTCGCGAACCTCCTTCTCGGAGGTTGTTGACGAGATACCAGAAACGTGAACGGTAGAGTGAGACATGATATTAGATAGAGGAGAAAATAGAAAATAAGAAACTTGCAAAAAGAAATCTAAGCGTCACAGCATTTCCCAGGTGGGATGTGACTTATTTAACTAACAACCCAGACTGCGCCACAGGTGACGTGGTGACGTATGGCGGGGCTGTTGCACCGCCTCACATAGTTAATTTCTTTTTCTTTTTCTTTTTTTCTTTTTGGTCTACATCATTGTCAATCGAGCTGCCTGGAAAATGAATTTCACATGCTAAAAAAAAAAATAATATAGGATTGCGTTGAACGTGTTTGCCTGCAAACCTCCCAATATGAAAATGTTGGGTACTGCCTCCATGGTGGCAATGTGCAATGTGAAAGAATGATATGGGTTGCAACGGAAGTTGAATCAGGCATCAATGATTCTTTCAGATGGTGTAGCAGAAGCCTCACTTGTTGAATCCTCCTTTTGTCTCTTTAAAGTCTGCTCCAGATCCCGCACACGCCTCCTCAGGTGTTCATTCTCCCGCTTCATGTATTCCACCTCCAACCTATGATGTGTGGCCTCCTCAAACCGCGACAGCGAGCCTCCAGGTGAATGGCCTAGATGGGTCTGGGACACCGAGTTCCGGTGGGGGTAGACGCTGCTATTATTGTTGGAGAACGAGGATAGTGATCCGATAGAGGGTCGGCGCGATGTGAGGGATGGCTCACGGCTGCGAACCGTTCGATACGGGATGTCTCGCGAGGGTGCAATTCCAGTGACACTTGCAGACTGTGGGGCCTGGTTTGCTGAAGCATGTGAACTGAGGCTCGAATTGGACCGGTTCCGTCGCGCAGAATGAGATTGGAGTGAACTGCTGAGGGTAGGTGATGCCTGTGCGCGATCTACCTCGTTAAATGTCGAGGTGGAGGATGCTGTCGATGCCACGGATGCCGTCTGCTGGCGAAGAATAGATAGCTCTCGAGTCAATCGATTCACCTGCGGGGAGATTTGCTGCGTCAGCGGTTGAGGGGTCCACGGAGATGTATACTCCGGGGCTCTAGGATCCCACTCACCATTGCTTCTTGCTCTTTCTCAAGCACTAGATGGAGATCCGAAGGCGTCAGCGGCTGAGGATGACGCAATGGCCCTTGTTCTGTTAGTCGGGGAGCTCATCAAAGTGGTTCCTGCCACTATGGACTTACCCTGAGCGGTACTTGTGATGCCGTAATCTCCCGTTCCCAGTGGTGGACTTCCTGGGGGCGGAAGTGCTGTAGAAATATGAGGACCATTTATTGGTTGTCGGGGTGTCGGAGACTGCGATGCCATAGCGGGTGCAGATGTTGCTGCACGAGGTCGTGCCATAGTAGAGTTGGAAACAGCGCCCAAGTCGGGAGCCATGACTATCAAATATGTTCTGATGATATTGCTTAACGGTAAGTTTTTTGCTGTGCACCTGGAGTCGGCATGTGAGTCAAAAGGACTGAACTATAAGTGTTTCAGCCTTGGGATAAATAATCAGTAACAGTCAAATTTCCAGAAATATGAATCAAAACACCCCTTGATGCAATTCTAGGGATATTCTTGAAACATACCAATTATGGGTGGGGTTAAAGGACTCGTTTCGGGAGGGGGATTTTTCTCAAAAGGCAGGAAGAAATAGGAAGAGATAGGTAGAGATAGGTAGAGAGAGAGAGAGAGAGAGAGAGAGCTGAGAAGTTGGGCTTCTCTCTTGCCGTGAAATGTTTTATCCTTTGTGACTTTGATTGGGCCGTGCACGTAATCTGCATTGGATGTACATGCACATCGTAGCTCTGGAGATAATATGGTGAACATTCCAGGCATGTACACTAAATAACTAGTTAACTAGTTAGTTAGTTAACTAGTTATGTACAACTACTTACCCTGGGTACATGGGTACTAGCGGAACTATCCAATAGCTGCCTTATGACACAATTCATCGATATTTTTTGTTAACTAACTAATCTAACTATGTTGTAAGTTACTTTTAATTGTACAAATGAACGGAGATAGTACGTAGACATACATGGGTGCTCAGACCCCTTTTGAGGCATATTAGATGTCTCAATTGGAGCTATCTGGTAAATTGAACAATAATGGGCTCATGCCATCGTCGATCAATGTCTTCAACCTCCTATAAGCCTCCAAAGAAAGTCATATCATCATACTTAACATATCATACCTAGGTAGCCCTGGAGATGCTCACTGCAAAACAATAAGCTCCACTTTGGTCCCCGGGCCCTCGGGATGATCTGCAGGTTACATAAGCCTGCGATCCACGAAAGAACTGGGTAAACAACTTCAATCTCATATCACTGTGGATTGTGGCAGTGAAGTCTTCTAAGGCCTGTGAGGGCCTCAGCTTGTCTCTCCCAGATATCTAAGCTTTTACATAGCCACCTGGGGCACTCTAAACCCCTGCCCAATGAAACCATGGCCCGACCCATCTCCCCTGATGCTACCCACATTCCACCCATTCTGAAACCGCTCGCTCCTTACGTCAGGTCGCGCCAGGAAACCCTTCAAATTCGCCAGGCGCTGACGTCTTATTTGCGCTCATTTATCGAATTCGACGATCAATCAAGCGATCATGCTCAATCCCACCTCGCCCTGTGTGCCTCGACCGATTGTGTTGCCGAAGTCAAACGGATCCCCACCGACCTCACCGGGTTGAGAAAGGATTATCTAAAGGCATTGGCGGCCAATGTTGCAGCCCGCAAAGAGTTCGCTTCGGCGTCTGAGAAGGTCGCCTCGTTAAGGCGCCAAAGGATGACCTCGAACCGCCCTTCCGACGATGCGGATCTGCAAGAGCCCGGCACCGAACTTCGTGAATACCTTGCCCTTTTACGCGACCGACGCCGCTATACCAAGTTACAGGTGTTTCAGAGTTATCTTGAAGAAATTAAAACACGCGATTCGGGCAGCTTGGAGGACGTTGTCAACGATGGGGAGCACATGCTGTTGCCGGAGGTAGATGCAGATGCGGGATGCAATGGCTCTGAAACGGACTTGGATGAACTAGTGCATAGCCTGGAGAGAGCGGTTGTCCGCGCGAGAACTGAATTAGATCGCCAAAAGCAATTGTTTGAGAAAGCCAAGGCACAGCATGATCCTCGAGCCGAGACTTCAGATGCCAAAGCAAAAGCATTACAAACGACCCGGGATGAGCTAGTACAATGGGTGGAGGAACGCCTGGTTGGTCAAGGGGATCCGGATCAGAGTCTGCTTCAAGAGCTTCCTCCGGAGGAAATCGAAGAGGCCCAGCAGGGGTTAGAGAATCGCAAGATCCAAATTACGGAGCAATATGCCGCATATCTGCGAGCCCGGAGAGATCTCCTCGACGCTGCCTCCAGGGCTTGTCAGCCAGTCAATGTGACCCAGAAGCCTTCGTCAAGATCAACCAACAAAAACGAACTTGTCATACCAGAGATCCCACCACCCAACCCAATTGATGTTCTGTCATTTACAAGCGAAAACCTGGTCCCACTACTTAAGATTCAAAAGTCGCTGGCTCTCCAAAAATCCTACTTATCTGGCTTACTCTCAAAAGAAAAGTCCACGACCCTCCGTGCACTCAATCGCCTAAGTGACGAATCCCACCTACTCCCCGAATACCCCACTCCCGCCCGCCAGCCGCGGGCTACTGCTCTCAGCTCGCGAATCCAGACCCAGACCTCCGATCAGACCCCGGATGAGGTTGTTGGTCTTGCTGGAGCATGGGCATTTGCCTCCAATGCTGCAACTGCCAACGGACGAGGCTTTGTTCAGCAAAAGATCGCATTCGGTACTGAGGTTGCGCAGGACGCCCGACAGACTCTTACTGATGTATGTAAAACCCTCAATCAGGACCTTGATGAGGTTATGCTGGAGGGTCGGGAGAACCGAGATGGGTCGGATTCATGCGCCTCCGATGCTCGCTCCGCGAAAGGGATGTCGAGGGGTGGGTCTCGGATTGAGAAGCAACCGAGTGGTCCTTGGTCAGGTTTGAATGGGAGAGTGGGGGTTGTAGAATAATTGTTGTATTTACTATAATAGTCTCCTTAATGTGTAATGTGCCCTATCATCTAATTTCAACTTACAAGCTACGCACGTCGATATTTTAGTGCAGGAGTTGAGGTTTGGCCGATTTTGAGGACATGGTATCATCTCAAACCAATTTACATTTCACTCGATTGACACAAAAAGCGTATCACTATATCCGGCTGTACACAACATTGGAGGGAGCAACTAAATATTGGACTTTCTACTAGAAATGAACGACACTTTCATTTCTCTTATGTGCTTATCTACTATATTATTCACCCAATAGTAGGTCAGGATCCTAATATTGTTAGAGCTGGCTATGTCCAAAGTATATATTCACCAATATATCCTCCCATTTTCCTACAACCATCGATAGGTTCGTAATTTCCACCGTATCTATCGGGTTCGATGATGGTACGCTAGTAAAGGACAGCCAGCCTTCTTTCATCTCCTCTATTTGCCATGCGCTTTTTGGCGAGTCGATAGAAATCACTGCTACTAGCTTCGGTATGCATATCCCACGCAGATGCAATGGCCGAAGAAGCACCTGACCTTCGTTTTGGGATATCTTTCCTAGGACTGTGTTAGAATAAGTGGGTTCAGGGAATTCAGGGTTTTTAGTTTCTATTCAAAGATTCTGGAATTTTGGTACTCTCCGAGCTGTCATTGTCAACTCTACCCGAGCTGCAGGCTTGGTCCGGGTTCGGGCCAAAGATAGCTTGGGGAATCAAGATCTCCACTACATATTCCGGGCCTACTTTTTGCGTCTCCCAGAGCGCATGTTACAAAATATGGGGCTCTATCATAATCTGGTCTTGTATGTCTCCATTTCCAGTTCTGACTATTCCATCTTGGCGATTCTGAGACTGCTTTATAGGATCATGATCTGTCTTGCCGCATCTCCCTATGTGGCTGTTTACCCTGTCTGCCGTCAATATTTGATGCCGCTTCATGTCGCTATTATCGTTTCAACACTTCCTCTGCACTATTGCTTTTCTTCTTGTTTATTAATTGCTGGGTGTCAACCCGAAATGATAACACCCCCGCGATACTTGCGACAGAAACACTGCAACAAGAGCAGCAGGCGGAGAAAGTTTCGACTCCTACATCTGTACGTGCAACTTCTCTTTGTCCTATTGCCCTATCTTGAGCATGTTAGGCTGCGGTCCGGCAAACTCGAGATTCAATCCCAAATATACCCTCATTCATCCCATGTTTATGCGCCCGATTCTCGGACTGATGTTGTGTTCGGGATGGCACAAACTAGCGGTCCATTCGTGGCCTACATTGTGAGTTAGATTTCTCTTCTTTTAGACGATATTACCCAAGAGATTCTGATGCAAGACGTGAATTGACGGTTCGTGGCCTCATCTTTCTATCAATCCTTTTGTGGATGCCACTAGTAGAACCAAGCCGAGTTCTTCTCTCTTTTGATGCATGCAGTGATTTGTCAAGGGACACTCTTATGGCTTCTATAAAATACTCCACAGATCATACCTTCCTGGGACCTCATAGTGGCTACCGGAGTAAAGGGTATACTAACCACACACATCAACTAATAACTTACTCTAAGAATACTGAGTGATGAGTGAGCCGATCACTAAGCAGTCCTAAGTACCCCCTAGTTGTTCATTGAGCAACAAGCAAATCCTACACACATAGGGTTGGAGTAACTAAGATTGTAGTAAAAAAGGGTAGCTAATTTACAATCAATTAGGGTTGTGGTGTAATATGGTTGCTTGAAATTTAGAGATAAGAGATAGGATTGGGGTCCGGCATCGGCATTGTCCAAGTGGTAGATCATCACTGAGTGATGCGCATGATGTACTTGCTGGAAGCTCCCAATTGCCTTCTATGAACCCTATAACTTCTATATGACAATTTATATCTATGTAACAAAAGATAATTACCTAGGATTTACTTAGTATACACCTGGGCATAGGATTTGGTATACATCAAAAGATAGGTAGGTATTTGCCGAGAGAACCCCGTCTCCACATCCAGGTTTTTGACTCATCACTGTCAAAAAAAAAAAAAAAAAAAAAAAAAAAGAAAAAAATATTATAACAAAAAAGGACCAAAAAAGGAGAAAGGAGGAACATCAAAACAAACCAACCTCTTCTATATCAATTGTTGGTATATTCAATATTAGATCCTTTAGATCTATAACTAACTACCTATTTCTAGGTATAATCCCCAATATCCCCCCGGCTTTCCCTTGTCCTTCAAAAGTGGAGCCGTATACGGTGAAGGGAACGAGCCAATTACCGACTTCGTGGCGGAAAAAAAAGAATCCCCATCAAAGCGTAGACTCATCCTCAACACATCTCCCAGCAATTGAAACATTACCTTCGGTGCGCAATGGTTCTTGCTGCTCGATGTGGGCAGGCCGCCGCCCTGCTGCGCCAGCGCTGCATTGCTGAAACCCGCCCGGCACTCTCTCTCCGCGCATTCTCAACTCAGTCCGTCCGTTCGACGACCTCGACTCTACGCCTGCAGAAGATCCCCACGGCGCGGTCTCAGCAGCTCCGTTCTTTCTCCAGCACCTTGAACCGCTTGGCTTCTCAGCAGCCCCCCGGCCGCCGAGTCTTACCTCGCTAGCGGTGCGGTGTCCACCGGTAGCAACCTCGTCGATGTCAAGAAGGTCCTCGTCATTGGTAGTGGTGGTCTGAGCATTGGACAAGCTGGAGAATTCGATTACTCTGGTAAGTTGGAACCACCTGGAGATGAAAAGTTCGCGCGATTGGATCACCGCGTCAGTCCCCCCATGGGGGTCTACACGGGAAGCTTTTCTGCGGGGAAACCCCTAGAAATAAATTCAAATGACAGTAACTAATCTTTTGACTGTGGGATCAAACAGGCTCTCAAGCCCTCAAGGCTCTCAAGGAAGCCGGCGTTCACTCAATCCTGATCAACCCCAACATCGCGACTATCCAGACCGACCACAAGCTTGCGGATGAAGTCTACTACCTCCCCGTCACCCCCGAATATGTTACCCACGTCATTGAGCGCGAGCGCCCTGATGGTATTCTCCTCACCTTCGGTGGTCAGACCGCCCTGAACCTGGGTGTGCAGATGAACCGCATGGGCACATTTGAACGCTACGGTGTCAAGGTGCTCGGTACCCCTATCAAGACCCTGGAGACCAGTGAGGACCGTGACCTCTTCGCCCAGGCCTTGAACGAGATCGATATTCCTATTGCCGAATCGACAGCCGTCGAGACTGTCGAGGACGCTCTAAAGGCTGCCGAGGAGGTTGGCTACCCCATCATTGTCCGGTCTGCTTACGCCCTTGGTGGTCTGGGTTCTGGCTTCGCTTCCAACCCCGATGAGCTCCGTGACTTGTCCTCCCGCTCTCTGTCTCTCTCCCCCAGATTCTCGTCGAGAAGTCCCTCAAGGGCTGGAAGGAGGTTGAGTACGAGGTTGTCCGTGACGCTGCCAACAACTGTATTACCGTTTGCAACATGGAGAACTTCGACCCCCTCGGAATCCACACCGGTGACAGTATCGTTGTTGCCCCTAGTCAGACTCTGTCTGATGAGGAGTACCATATGCTCCGCACTGCTGCCATCAAGATTGTCCGTCACTTGGGCGTCGTTGGCGAGTGCAATGTCCAGTATGCTCTGCAGCCCGATGGACTTGACTACCGTGTCATCGAGGTCAACGCTCGTCTTTCGCGTTCGTCCGCTCTGGCTTCCAAGGCCACCGGTTACCCGCTTGCTTACACCGCGGCTAAGATTGGCTTGGGACACACTCTTCCCGAGCTCCCCAACGCCGTTACCAAGACCACCACCGCCAACTTCGAGCCCAGTCTGGACTACGTCGTCACTAAGATTCCCCGCTGGGACTTGAGCAAGTTCCAGCACGTCAACCGCGACATTGGCTCCGCCATGAAGTCGGTTGGTGAGGTTATGGCTATTGGTCGTACCTGGGAGGAGTCCCTGCAGAAGGCCATCCGTCAGGTTGACCCTCAATACCTTGGTCTCCAGGGCGATAAGTTCGATGACCTCGATGAGACTCTCCGCAACCCCACCGATCGCCGCTGGTTGGCCGTTGGACAGGCTATGCTCCACGAGAACTACTCCGTTGATAAGGTCCACGAGCTGACCAAGATCGACAAGTGGTTCTTGTACAAGATCCAGAACATTGTGGATTGTAACAACGAGCTTAAGGAGATCGGCAGCCTCTTCGGCCTCAAGCAGGAGATCCTGATGAAGGCCAAGAAGCTCGGTTTCTCTGATAAGCAGATCTCTCTCCTTGTTGGATCCACCGAGGATGATGTTCGTGCCCGCCGTAAGTCCTTCGGCATCACCCCTTGGGTTAAGAAGATCGACACCCTTGCTGCCGAGTTCCCTGCCGACACCAACTACCTCTACACCACCTACAACGCCTCCTCCCACGATGTTACCTTCGATGACCACGGAACTATCATTCTGGGCAGCGGTGTGTACCGTATCGGTAGCTCCGTCGAGTTCGATTGGTGCGCTGTTAACGCCACTCTCTCCCTCCGCGAGATGGGCAAGAAGACCGTTATGATCAACTACAACCCCGAGACCTACTCCACTGACTTCGATACCGCTGACAAGCTGTACTTCGAGGAGCTTAGCTACGAGCGTGTTATGGATATCTACGACCTCGAGGCCGCTAGCGGTGTCGTTGTCTCTGTCGGTGGTCAGCTGCCTCAGAACATTGCCCTCCGTCTGCAAGAGACCGGTGGTGCTACTATCCTAGGTACCAACCCTCTGGACATTGACAAGGCCGAGGACCGTCACAAGTTCTCCTCTATCCTCGATAGCATTGGTGTCGACCAGCCCGCCTGGAAGGAACTGACCTCTGTCGCTGATGCCGAGACCTTTGCCGACACTGTTGGTTACCCCGTCCTGGTTCGTCCTAGTTACGTCCTGTCCGGTGCCGCCATGAACGTCATCTACGGTGTCGATGAGCTCAAGGAGAAGCTCCTGAACGCCGCTGCCGTTTCCCCTGACCACCCCGTCGTCATCACCAAGTTCATCGAGGGTGCCGAGGAGATCGATGTGGATGCCGTTGCTTCCAACGGTAAGCTGATTGTCCACGCCGTCTCCGAGCACGTCGAGCCCGCTGGTGTTCACTCCGGTGATGCCACCCTTGTCCTGCCCCCTGCCAACATCCCAGAGCCCATCATGGCCCGCGTCAAGGAGATCGCCGAGAAGGTCGCCAAGGCCTGGAACATCACTGGTCCCTTCAACATGCAGATCATCAAGGCCGATCAGGAGGGTGCCGAGCCCACGCTCAAGGTTATTGAGTGCAACCTGCGCGCCTCCCGCTCCTTCCCCTTCGTCAGCAAGGTCCTGGGTACCAACTTCATCGATGTCGCCACCAAGGCTCTCGTCGGCCGTGATGTCCCCGAGCCCGTCGACCTCATGAAGGTGAAGCGTGACTACCTTGCCACTAAGGTTCCCCAATTCTCCTGGACCCGTCTAGCTGGTGCCGACCCCTTCCTGGGCGTCGAGATGTCCTCCACCGGTGAGATTGCTTGCTTCGGTAAGGATCTGGTTGAGGCCTACTGGTCTTCCCTCCAGTCCACCATGAACTTCCGCATGCCCGAGCCCGGTGAGGGTATCTTGCTCGGCGGTGATATCGCCCAGCCCTACCTCGCCAAGATTATCGAGTACTTGAACCCTCTTGGCTACAAGTTCTTCGCCGTCAACCCCGTGGTTAAGGATCACCTCGAGTCCGCCGCCAACGTCTCCGTGCAGCTGATTGAGTTCCCCAAGAAGGACAAGCGTGCTCTCCGTGAGGTGTTCCAGAAGTACGACATCCGTGGCTGCTTCAACCTTGCCAAGACCCGTGGCAAGACCCAGCTTGATGAGGACTATGTTATGCGTCGCAACGCTGTCGATTTCAGCGTGCCTCTCTTCATGGAGCCTAAGGTATGTTTTCAAGTGCTGATGCTCATAATGATTCAAGTTACTAACCGATTCTCTCTATAGACTGCCCAGCTCTTCGCTCAGTGCATGAGCGAGAAGCTGCCCCGCGGTGAGGGAATTCCCTCCGAGGTCCGCACCTGGTCCAACTTCGTCGGTGGCAAGGCACTGTAAATCTCTTATTTTCTTTTTGGCACAAAGTGACAGAAGAAGAGAGAGAAAAAAAGCCCCACTATGTCGAGGTAAAGAGAGACAGGATGTCAACATCTCTTTCCGCTCGATAACCCCTATGACCTCCCCCGCGGGTCCTCTCGTCATGACTTTCGAATATAGGACAGAATCTAAACTTTCTGTATGGTGTAGTGGGTAGGGCAATCTTGTTGATAGATGGCGTGCATTGTCGTTTCGACCTTTCTTAATTATTGTACTCTCGGATTGGAATGTTGTCTTTTCCTTATGAATTGTTGAATTGCTCTTCATCTCTACTCTCTACTCTACGGCGAATCCAAGTTGGATATAGTTGTGTAGTGCTCATATTCCCCTGATATACGATGTTTTTTAAGATCTCTTCTCTGTACTCTGTACTTCGTACCTGTGGATATATTCAGGGTCTTCAATGTTATCTCCCGAGGTCATTTCCAGAGGCTCAGCCACAATATCCGTCGTTAGGGCTAGGAGGGGCTTGAGCCTCCTCCGGGCGCCAATTAGAATAACATGAGATGTCTCACTTCCAAGTCCTCCTTATGATAGCAATTTTGGCCGATTCTTGCGACCAATCATCCCAATTTATGGCTTGTATCTTTGTTTTTTTTAGCTAAACGCGAGACCATTGAATAGATGCCCTATATCCTAGGTAAAGTGGTCCTTGCATCCGGAGCTTTAAATAGAAAGCTGAGCTACTCGAATCACCGGGGTCTATTTAATACCGAACAGGTGAAGAACCTGATTACCCTTGGAAGCCAAGAGCATAACTATTGGGATAACTGCATATTCGCTTTCCGTCCTATAAGGACATACCAGCAGAACACTAAAATGGATATTGCGTTCCATTTGTTACCTCTTCGCGAAGGTGAAAAGCGGACCGACTACATCCCCGCCCTCTCCCACCCGTATCCGAGTCACACCCAAGGATACAACACATCGCCAGGCGGAAATAGATATCTGTTTTATTGTGAGACGCTAGGCGTGATTTCCTCTAGGTACATTTTCACTATAACCACGGCAAACCCAATAACTCACCCACTGCCATCCGAAGAGCTCCTTACGATGCAATGGAATCTGACTCGGATCGCTGCTATGCAAGGAGCTGGTGAAGACGAGGATAGTGATATAGACTCCGACAGTGACTCTGTCGCCGTTGAATCAGGCTCAAGATCCCCAATCAAGGAGGCTCGCATGTTCCCCGAGAGATTGGTTCCCACATCGCCAAGAGGATACCCCAGCAAGGGAACCCGTAGCCTCACTGAGAACGTGCCTTTTATAGTCCCAATCAGGTCGCCGTCACCTTCAAAGGCCCGGGATTTACCTGGCATGGATGAAGCCTCCAGTGAATACATTGAGGAGTAGCTTTCTTTCTCTGGGGGAAAAAAAAAAAAAAAAAAAAAAAAGAAAAGAAAGGTCGACAGTCGACTCTTGAGCGGAGTGATCAGCAAGATGCATCTTACGTTAAGACCGGTCATCCACCAAGACCGGGGTCTTCTGGGACTGTTCTCGATGTTCCAGAAGATCCAACAGCCACGAGCTTGGACCTCTACGTGGTGCTGTTGACTAGTAGCCTTTCTGGCGAAGCCAACGCAAGCTCACTTGTTTTCCTTGTTTTCCTATGACCTAGATAAACAGTAAATTTTGAACAATAGTATTATTGAAGAATGAGAGAATAAAGATAGTGGATTGGCTAATGTAAAGGAAAGAGGGATAGTCGGTCGACTAGACTTAGCTACTAGAAACGATATAATAAGAAACCGGAACTAATGGCAAGACATTAATTAGGGAGACTTAGGGATATAGACTTCCCTACCCTTAGCTTGATAGATTCTAGGACATCAGACATACTAATAGCCAATCTAATATAACAGTTATAATTATGCGTATCGATAAGCCCCCCGAGGAGCAAACCCGTAACGGCCCTATTAGTATTGATAACAAAAGCGCCCGAATCTCCTTCCTTAATAAAAGAACATTGCTTTCGACCCGCCTTATCGGACACTCTACTTATGATAACGAAAGCGTCCGTAAGGTTCTTCGTAACGTCGATGGTATTGCTATCGTGGTCGTATCGTATACCATCCTGAGCGGGGCATTTGTAGATAGCTTAAGCGCTAAGGCAAATCCCAGCTATCACCTTACTCGAACGACCTAACTTAGCGTAGCATTTCCCGTCCTCTATGGAACCAAACTCTGTAAGGCTAGCGCCTTCGAAGGGGATGATCTCCCCTCGTCATCTAGGTAGTACTTTGCGCGGCGCTAACTCGTTAGGAATTGCGAATATTTGATTAGGTCGGAAGTATCTTTCTTTGGCCTCCTCTGAGAGCTTAACAAAAGCCTAATCAACTAGTCGGTTGCCTAGAACTAGTAACCCGATAATTACCCTAGAAGCATTCGAGCCATTTCCAGGAGTTTTCAAGAGCGCTAGAACCGTTTAGTTTGTGTGGCACGATATGCGCACACTGAAGCCCGGGTTGGTCACGTCTGGTCAGGACGCATTTGGCGTTACTAGGCACTGAAGGGCAACGAAGTCAGCATTATTTTGTTTCTAAGTTCTCAATTAGCGTACCTTTTCCTTTGTAAACTCGTCCCGCTTTTGCCGTTCTGGCTGAGCAAGAGCCAGAGGCTGGCCATGGGAGGGGCCTGGCTGGTCATCCCAAGAAGCACGTGGGAGGTTATTGTTGGCTTGCTTGCCGGCTGCCACTGTGTTATATGTTTTTTTTCAGCTTGCCATCGTGAAGGCTCGTTTTATACAAATTTTAATGCACCATGCACTTACCGATCCCAGGAACATCGTTTGAGTCGACCTCAATCAGCGTCAGAGAGCGCCAGTTGAAAGCAGGATCACCCTCCGGGAGGACCCTGGCAAATCCCCGAAGGGTCTCAATGTCCGAGAACCAAGTCACAATTCATGATGAAAATGATACAGTGATCTTGGCGGAACTGATGAAAATGGTTGGATGGAAAAGAAAATGTGGGGAGTGGGGGAGTGGGGAAGAGTCAGGGTTCCAAGGACAGCACTCTCACTTCACAAGTACCATGTTGAATTGAATCTGAATTGAATCTGAACTGAATCTAAACTGAATCTGAACTGAATCTGAGTTGAATTGTATTATAATGTATAGTATACAAATAAAAGAGAAGTTAAAATCAGTAAATGCTTCAAGAAGGCAGTAATGAACTAGACTACGTAGGTGTATGGCGGCTAGGGGTCGGATAGTTAAGGTTTGTAATGGTATTAGTGCCTTAATATGCCTGATTTCCTACCGCCTTTTTGTATATAGTATATTATAAATAAAGCTCTATCGCCTATCGCCCATTTCTATGATAAGGCCCCCTCCGACAGGGCATATCACCTTGTCTTATAATAGTGAAGCTATTCATAGTCGAGGGGAGCTTCGATTCGAACCGCGGCTAGAGCAAGCGTATAAGATTGGGTAGTGGGAAGGCTTCAATGCCTGAAATTCGGGAATCATGGGATTTGTATCATATAGTTATATGGTGACGACAGTTGAGCCGACCCCACCAAGTCATGTGATAGTCACACCGGTCAGCTCAGCTAGCTCTCCGATTCTTCGTCCTCCAGGGTAAAGTAGTCGAACAGGTCGCATTCAGCTTGGCGGTCGAATTTACCACAGGCTTATAATATATTAGTAATGACTTTATAATACCTTATTCCTTTATATATACCTTTGGCTTGGCCGTCACGTTTACACGCGGCGCATGGCATACGGACCTTTGGGTGGTCGGCATTGATAATAGCCATCATAGCGGTCACATTGGTCTAAGCAAAAGATTAGAATAATAACGTATTATTAATGACTTAAACTCACTAATACAACTCCTTTAACTGTCTTGGTCGGCACGGGTGGTTTTATAGCTGCTAGGGCGCGCGCAGCCATACGGCGGTCGTATGCTGCTATAACTTCCTCGAACCAGCCTATAAAGTATTAGTATTAATAAATTAATAATAGATTAAAACTGACCAATCGACTCGGACACTACCTCCCCCCTTGGCCTACCAATCGATGAGAAGGCGAAATTGCTGAAGACCTTAGGGTGCTTGTTCTTATAATGGGTCTTTAGGTTCGCGAAGAGGGTGAACTTGGTCTAGAGAAATATATTAATAATGATTTATACCGTATAGTTTTAACGTCAAAGTGAAATACCCGGACGCGACAGCCGTCAGCTCGGCAGTAAGCTTCGTTATAGTACACTAGGTCCTGTATGTTGACCTAGTAGTGGTTGTTAGTATATATAATGCATTTGTAATGGTTTTTTTTCCCTTAGTTTGGTCTCACGTTCTGTTCGATAGGGGGAAGCTCTAGGTCATCAAGGTCTACCTCCATATACCGCTTCCATGCTTTGGAAGCCTTGACTGACATTGTGACGATGTGTTTAATAATAGGTTTTGAATGAATTAATAATGTAATACTAAAGAAGTCAGTATTACAATGTTTAAATTATAGATTAGAGGTGTTGAGCTGACCGGTGTAGATAAGATAAAACAAATCACGTGGTTAGGTGGGGCCACCGGTCAGCTCAACTTTAGAGACAGGGGTCAGCTCATCTGCATCCTGAGTTATATGGGTGTCACATTTGATGCCCATTTTTTAAGGTGTTGGTCTTATCGACCTGACCTGAGGAATTGAGGAATTCAAGTACTTTGCTTACTAAGGGCTGTATTATGGTAATTCAGGTATTTTTATTTTCTGCCAGTTTTAATTTAGGTGTCTATCGAAACTTTCAGGCACCAATACCATACATAACCGCATCCGACCCCTGGCCCCCATACACCTGCGTACTATTCTCGAAAAATTGAAATCACAGCTCACTACTCCGTAGTGTTTCGATATAACTAGTTTCAGCCGGTAATGCTAAGTCAGCCGGAATAAACCCCGCGGCATATTTAGTCGCCCGTACGGAGTACACTCGTATGCAAAGGATGCTTGGCTTCCGGATCTCCGTGACTCTTTTCGGCACCCATTGGGCACGCTAGCGATGAGGCAGCATAACAGTCCTTTTAGTTTTTTCCCCCTCTGCTTTCTGACTGCTTTTCTTCTGCCCAGCCCCAACTCTCCCTAATCTACGGCCTTGAAACCCTTCACCTTCAAATCCTGAAAATATGCGCTCATCTTGGTTCCTCTTCTCTGCCCTAGCAGCTCTGGCTGCAGCCGCCGAGCCCGGCACAACAACGATCAGCTATTTCGCAATCGACAATGACTCCGCCGGTGCCGATCTCGGTGCCTACACCAGCACCGCAGGCCGGGTCGTTGGCATCGACAAGTACGCCACAACCTACGAGATCGCCTGCTTGCCAGGCGCATCCAAGTGCGCATTAGAACATCCTGCAACCCTAATCCAGGGCGATGCCACATACAGCGTCTCCCTCGAAGCAATTATGGTTACCAGCGGTATTACGGCCCACGCAACCGCCATCGAGTCATGCAGCTTCACCCGTGTTTCGGAATCTGCTGTCTGCAGCTGGAGTCTTGCATACACCGGCATCCATGGCACTACCACCGTTTCCGATTCTGCCTCTAGCACACAGTCCATCCCGTCCTCTTTGATTACCTATAGGCCTCTTACTATCACCGATGGCGTCTACGCTCTCACCGCTGATGCGACGGCTTCGACTTCGCTGGTCAGGATTACCCCTACTGCTTCGACTACTGCTTCTGCCGGTGGTGTTGCGGCTGCTGCGAAGCCTTTGATTACTGCTGCGCCGTTAGGTGCTGCTGTTGCTGTTGCTTTTGCGGCTATGCTCTAGGTCTTGAGTTTAGGCTTTTTCATGTCTAATGTTTACCTGGTTGAGGCCCGAGTCTCTGGGTCCATGTACTTTAATGAGCTATGCTATATGTACATTTAATAATTCACCGAGATATTGTCTCGAGTCCGACTTTATCTTACTACATTTCTCTGGATTTTGGACTAGTATGGATTCCTGCTGAGAAGGATTTGTAGATCTTCAGTGTCTATGCAGTATTCCTTTGCCTGCATTCATACCCATGTAGTTATCTCACATATATAGAGCTAGTTTACGACTGTCGTAGGAGTTTACACTAATATTCTCTCTCTCTCTCTCTCTCTCTCGGCCTGCCCTCAACATCCATGGATCTGGGCTTAGGCTGCTTATATAATGTAGGACGCTAGCCACCAAGGTGCCAATAATATGCTTGGCGAGGAACTTTTAACTAACAGTTATTCTATAGGTATTCGAGCTATAAGAGAAATTTCAAGATCTTTTCATCAGACTGCTCTTTGTGGGAGTATGTGAGAGAATCTATCCATCTTCCTCTATAAATGCCAAGAGATTCAAATACAATGACGAATATTCACCGCCCTGCCCACGTGGACGACTATCCACTCTGATCGTTATATCTTCAATCCTTACACCTATATTCAGATCACCCACAATGGCATCAAGACCTGCACTACCTTCAGTGATGACCAGGACGGTCCCACAGCCTGACCCCAATGGCATGGGGAATGGCCTGTTTGCGACAACAGACATTAACCCTGGTGAAGATGTTTTGCACATCAAAACACCATTTGTGGCGATTCTTGATTCTCCACGTTTAGAAGACACATGTGCTGGGTGCTTCGGAAAGAGACAAGTGGAAACAGGAAATGAGTTGAAGGCTTGCACGGGATGTCGTGTCGTTAAGTATTGTGATCGGGTGAGTTTTTATAGGGATAGATCGTTTGCTGTCTCATATTTCTCGTCCTACCAAAGATTATATCGTTTGATCTTCTAATACTTGGTAATTAGGCGTGTCAATCTAAGGACTGGAAGTTTGCACATTCTCTTGAATGTCCCATCTTCAAAAAGGTCAAGCCTATGGTGCTTCCCAACAATGCCCGTGCTCTCCTGCGCATAGTGCTGCGCACTGCGCGTAACAAATACGATTCTGAAGAGTCTAAGGTCTTTGATGGCCTGGAGACTCATATCAATGAGATCTCAGAGAGCCAGGGCCAGCTTGACAGGATTAACCTGACGGCAAAAGCTGTCAAGAATTACTCAGGGACGGATGTGGATGAAGGAACTGTTGCTTCTTATGCTGCCAAGGTAATTGATTTAAACCTTACACCTCTTACCTCACATATTTCTCATCTAACTATCATTTACAGCTGGATCTCAACTCCTTCAACCTTACCACCTCCATGTATGACCGCATTGGCCTCTACATGCATCCATATGCCGGGTTGATCAACCACAGCTGTGACTACAACTCCACCGTTGGATTTGACGGTGAAGAACTGTACGTCAAGGCCATACATCCCATCAAAAAGGGCGAGCAAATCTTCATTTCCTATATCGACACCACGACACCATACGACATCCGTCGCAACGAACTGAAAGAACGCTACTTCTTCGACTGCCAGTGCACAAAGTGTGCGATGGGAGCGGAAACCCTTGAAGACCGGTTCTTGTCTACTCCTGAAGACATGACGCCCTTAGAGACGGCAGAGCGGGAAGCCCTGGAGCTCCTACAGAAAGCAACTGCAACTAGCACGGAGTCAGCAGAAGCAATCGAAAAGTTGGAAGCTGCTATGCACAAGCTTCATGAAACAGCCCTCTGGCCTCTCACCCGTCAGCCATATGCTTCTCTACGTGACAAGCTGATCATATCTCTCCTAACAGCTGGTAACTTCACCCGGGCATTCATTCACGCTGCCATTCGATACCTACGAATCGATCCTGTTGTCTATGACAAGGCCCATCCCATCCGACACATTCATGCATGGAGCCTGGTCAGGCTTACTGTCTTCATCTCCCAGGAGGGTTTCCAGCCCGACCCCAAAGATCCTGTCCAGATAAATGGCTTCAAGCTGAACTTTCACTACTTGATTTGGTATATTCTCGCTGAACTTACTAGCACTCAGGCAGAGAGCTGCACAGTGCCTAGTTTCAAGAAGCTTGTTGGAAATCAGTTCGTACAGGTTCACAATGAGTTCAAGGCCAATGGCCTTGATCCTAGCAAGACCAAGGCGGTCCTCTCTGCTGAGTGGAACAAGCTTGAACGTCTTGTCAGCAAGGCTTTAGAGAAAGAGTGAAGCCTTTTATATTACTCGAAATTTGATCAAACCACAACATGGAACATGGCCAGCCTTAATGGAATAGATTGAGCACCTTATATAACAAAACAGTAGTGCGATGTGCCGGTTTTCTCAATGGTGTCTCACCTTTTATGCTCGAGATGGTAGGAGCGATCAAGGTCGATACCGGCTGTACACATAGCCGCAGCTTCGCTTTTGAGGCCGGTCGACCCTTCCTCTTCGGGGCTGGTTGGGGACTATATAAACTGTCCCCAACCCATTTATCTTCTCTTCTCTTTCTATCTTCCCTCCCGCGTTTCTTTTCGTTGTTTTTCTTTTTTTCTTCGTCTGCAAAGGCAATCCACGAACAACAAACACCACTCAAAATGGAGGCCATCGAGATGGCCGTGTTGTCGGACCGCTGGTCTATGGAGATGGGGCCTCCAACCTCCCAATTCACCGATGAGGTATGTGCTGCCCCCGAGACCAGTGTAACCTCCCACTACGGGGCCAGCTGTCGGGCTGCGACCCCCCGGTTTGCCGATCTTAGGACTCCGGTTATTCCTCCTGATTACCAGCAGATCCCAGGGTACGAAGCCCACCGTCAGCGACAGGAGACTCGCGCACTCATGGGATCGATTGCGGAGCGCCGGGGCAAGCCTACCCCCGCCCCAATCTTGATCTATGGTGACGCTCCGAGTCCTCCGTCGCGCCGACGACGTTGGTAAGTCAATTCCATTTCATTTTTACTTTCAGCCTCTCTTGTCTTGGTTTGAATTTGATTTCAGCTTGTTCTCAATTATTCTCACTTCTTTCTTATTTCACATGTTCTATCTGAGATGAAATTTCTTTTACTTCATTTGGATTGGACTCGGCTGACTTTTGATTCTGATAGGGTCCTTGGGTGCCGCTCGTGCTGGTGTCTTTGCTGGAGCCGGAGCTCAGCAGCTAGCCAATGAGCGAACTTGGACTATGTCTGGGGGAGCCTTCTGCTGGTGCTTTTGGTGAAGATGGCAAGAGAGGTTTATGTAGTGTGGGGGTTGGTTCTCGAGGGGTTGGCAGCCCATTGGTAAGGCTTATCTATCTCTGATCTGGTCTCAGTTCTGAATGCCAACAATATGACATACAGGTTTTGTTATATTTAAGTTCTGCTCCCCGGACTTGACCACCGGGTACGAGCTCGAGATAGTTACCAGAACAGAGTTGGTTGAGTAATATCTCCAAGGCTTGGATCTGTCATCAGTACGAACTTGACGCGGGATTGTAAGTCCGGTCCCTCTCATTCATTCTTCAAGCTCTAACTGTCAAAGAGCGAAATCGCTCACCCACGTTACGGTGTCATATTCCGATACTGCCAGCCTTCACATGAGCTAGTACCCATGCATCACCTCCTCCATTGTGCATTTGGCTCTTCTACACTACCATGTGGACTGCCGTGGATTTTGATGCCCTCACGGGGTGCAGCTCAGACATGCTCGACAAAATCCGAACGGACCGAAGTTCTCTGACAGTCCATTTATCGACAACTTAAAGAGACTCCGATTATACTCCCTCCAAACTCAGGCCCTTCGCATCAGCCACGTTATCGACTGGTATGTCGACCACATCGAAGCTAGCAATAGGTACGCAGGCCAGCGTCCTTTCTCAAGAAGTATAACCCCGACTTAAGCTAATACAACTCCAAAGTCACGCCATACGAATAGCTCCAAGTTGGCGCTCAACCAAGCTAGCAGAACTTAAGCTAGCACCAGCGGCCACGATCCTATCCAAGAACCTTCCAAACCAGCGGCAACAAACCCAAAACTATCTACGCCGCTGGCAATACCTAGGTATCCGGTGACGCACGAAACAAGGGCGTTCGGTGCTATTAATTCCAATGGGTCGTGGTGGACGAGGCTGGGATTCCACGACTTCAAATCGAAAGTCGAAGATGAGCGACTCTTTCCAGAGCGTTAGCGGCTTAGCCCTCAAACATTTGAAGTCCACCCATCTTCACTGTCTGACAGTATACTCGCCACGCCACACATTCGTCGGATTCGTCGATCTGCACGAATGTTCTCAAGCCTTTAGGGTCCATTCTGACGCGCACGAAACAGCAGTCGACAGGGAGCCAGCGCAATATCCCCCGCGAGAGGCTCGTGGGCCCGAAACCCAGACAACCAATGGAATCACGATATACTACGAAAGTGGCAGCCATAAACAACAGCTACAAGCACTGCTGGACGATTTCGCAGATATTTTGACCGTGTTTCTACCAATGGGCGGTGCACCCCGACGATTGGCACGAGCTCACATAGGGGCCAGGAACTTTTCACAGTTGCCCCTATGGGATTCTACAATAGCTGAATAACTTCATGGCAACATAACTCTCCTGTCTCTTCGTGTATTTCGCTGGATATGAATAGTATCATGTGTTCCATATATGCTGCTCGTAATTTTAAGTATAAAAATTGAGGGTGGGTTGTTCTGTGTTGTTGGGTACTGTCTATGTATGCTATGTTTAATTATCGTCAAACTTGGAAGGTGCTAAGCCCTAATTTCTTTAGCAAATGGACAGACGTGAAATTCAACTGCCTTTATACTTTTGTTTTCTTTTCGAATTCGCTATAAATACCAGCAAAACGAACCAATCTACAAGCTGAAGCTTTATGAATGCCACAGGCGTGCCAAGATTGTCCAGATGAGCTTGATCCTCTCATCTAATACCCCATACGACAACAGTCAAATGTATAATATCATGTCCATTTACCAATATTGATAAATACAGGAATAGAAGGCAAATAACCAAGCGAGCATACATATATGTTCATATATACAGTGTACAAAAGTCAAGTCATAAAATATATCACATCAGACTTGTTCGGCCTCCAATCTCGTTGGCAGCCTCACCGTTAGGCATCTCACCATTTCGGCCCGCGACAAACTCACGGTAAATTCCCTGAAGACGTCTACGCTCTGCGGGAGGAAGAGAACCACGCGTGGTAGCCAATGAGCGCTCGACATGCTCCCAGCGGACAATGATATCCTCACGCAGCTCGTCTGCATCAGGTTCAGTGCCGTTAGCCACCGGGGCCACGGCGTTCGTACCGGAAGGTCCCTGCTCGAGTTGGCGCTGGCGGCGGCGCGAGTTCTTGATTGCTTCCAGTTTGGCTGAAATCACTGCCGGAGCTGGCATGGAGACAGACCCGGATGCTTCCTCTGAAGAAGAGTAGAGGAACTGGATGAAGGATTTGCTAGAAGCACTAGCGGAGTTGGATTTGGCACTGGGCTTGGCTGTGTCGGTAGAACGATCACCCAGGGCGTCATGGACGGCCTCGAGATGGGCGTTGTATACGACAGCCTGCAGGTCTGCACCGGAGAATCCGTCGGTCTCGGCGGCGATATCACCTAGACGAGACGTGACCTCGTCACTCATCTTGAGCTTTTCACTCACTGAGCGGATGATATCAACACGGTCTGCATGGTTGGGCATACCGCAAAGCAGGGACTTGTCGAGACGGCCAGGTCGAAGGAGCGCAGGATCAATCAAGTCAGGTCGTGACGTTGCTGCTAGCACGTAAACGCCCGAGAGACCTTCCGCGCCGTCCATTTGTGTCAACAGCTGGTTGACAACACGATCCGTGACACCGGTGGAGTCGTGGCCACGCTTGGGTGCGATACTGTCGAACTCATCGAAGAAGAGGACGCAAGGGCGAGCGGCTTGGGCTCGCTCGAACAAATCGCGCACACTCTTTTCACTGGCTCCGATGTATTTGTTCAAAATCTCGGGACCCTTGACACTGATGAAGTTCAAACCACACTCGCCAGCCACTGCGCTGGCCAACATTGTCTTACCGCAACCAGGGAATCCATATAGGAGTAAACCGGACCGCAGTCGCAATGGGCACTGTGCGAAGATCGGGGCATACTTTGTAGGATACTGCAAAGTTTCCAACAGCATCTTGCGAGTTTCGAACAAACCACCAACAGAGGAAAATGTTGTTGTTGACGAGGTAAGAGTAACGTTGCGAAGAGATGCCGGAGTAAAGTCCTTCAAGGCACTTTCAAAGTCCTCTAATCCAAGAGTTATCATCTTTGATGTTGATGTGAGATCCGAGACAGAGCGAATGAGGGCCTCATTACGCGCACGAGCAACAAGTAGCACAAGATCACCGGGCATATACCCATCGGTTTTACCGGCCAGCTCTAGATACTCGACATCCCTTCCAATAACAAACCCATCACCCCCAGAAGAGCTTGGTCGGCTCCCCGGATTTGAAGGGTCCAACCATGAGTCTTGTGTTGAGGAGCTTGCAGCCCTCACATGCCCGTTTGAGCTTTCTGTAGGTTTATCGTCGCTAGTAAGTTTTTCCAAAACTCTTCGTCGTCCTTCCTTATCAGGAGCTCTCATGTTGATAATCTCACGGACGACGTGGCCGCCGATGATAACATTGTTGAGAGACTCTTTGGCCTGGGCAGTAGCCAGTAGCACAACCGAGGAATTCAGAGCGCAATACTCTCGAACCATAGAGCAGATAACCTCGCTGTTCTGGCGACTGCGGCCATTGTCTCCACCCACTTGCAATTCAGTCTCCGCTGGGCAAAGCTTGTCTAGATCTTCAAGGATCACAACTGACTGACCGCCAAGACGTGCACACCATGACGCGGACATGAAGAGGCGATTCAGTGTCTCTTTGATGTTGGAAATACGTGTTTCATCTGTGACAAGCTTGCGGCAGGAGAAATACTTCACATTGAAGAGATGATCACGTCTTAAGCGATGGGCCAGTAGATGGGTAAGGGCTGTTTTACCAGCACCAAGACCGCCGGTAAGCAAGATAGACGAGGATTTTGTTAGGTTGTTCAATGACTGTTCAATGATAGAATCAATCCCTACCAATTGAGGAGCAGCTTCTGGGAGAGGGTCCTCCATAGGTAGCGTTGATGAACTAGTGTCAAATGGTTTGGAGATTTCAGCTTGGACTTCAACGTTCAGCTTCGCTTCTGAGCCCAGCAACCACCCGAACATTGACTTTGTTTCATCCGAAGACCCCTTCAAAGGAGGATCAAAGCGAAGAATAGCACCATCAAACGAAGAGACCGAAGGATGATTCTCGGATTTGGGTATAATCATTCCATCTGTCAAAGCCCCCGAAAACAGCCCGGTGTCGGACCCAGTGCTGCCGTAGATGACTTTAAGACGCTCGGCTAGGGCATCCCGAGATGCCGTGGTGTCAGCACCGAACTTCAGCCCGTCCTTCTTCTTTGAAGCATCGGTTATGAAAGGATAAACTTTGAGAGTCTTGACTGCCGAGCGATGCAGCTGTGGGGGTGCTGCTTCGACTCGGAGAATCCCTCCAACCATGCTCTCCGCACCAAGGGCCGTGCACAACAAGGTGGACATTGCCACATGCCGATTGTCCGGAGCCTCCTCCCACGGAAACAATTTAGCTACGATCTTGGTTGTAGGGGCGCCGGCATCATTGGACTTTTGCTGTTCGGCTTGAGCAAGTTGTTGTTGGGGATCTGGTGGGGATTTGAGACCGGATGGCTGGACAACCGACACGCATGCCCAAGTCGCCCCACGCAGCTCATGGCTGACCAGCAGGTCCGGATCAACCCAAATACGGAGGCCCTCATTTGCATCATCTTCTACTTCCCCATCAAAGTATTGAGCGGTCGCTGAGCGGTCCACGCCTCTCAAGTAAAGAGAGCCTCGTGTGCTGGAGTCGGATCGACCACTCTTTGGGCGTACAGTGCTTGAAGCACTCCTGCCCCCAGCACTCTTCCTGCTGCTACCAGTAGCACTGCGGCTATCTGCCCGAGAGCTTTTGGTTGTCTTGGATCGAACTTTGGGGGCCACTATGACTTCTGCATCCGGCGCGATCTTGGCGAAAGGGGAGGTGTCTGAGGGAGCGGGCGTAAGAGAAGTAACGACAATATTGGCGGTAGATGTGGGAGAGAGATGTAATGCGAGTGGGTGCATATGCACCGATTGCCCTGCATTGTATGTAGGATTGGGTAGAGCGCGAATTTGTGATAAGAGGTTAAGTTCCAAGAATGTGGCGTGGAGTTCAATGACTATTCGTGTCGGGTTAGTACCAGTTCAATTATAGTTGTTTATGATTTAGACATACTCTCCCAGTCTTCTGGTGTCAATGGCTCAATGTTTATCGTATGTGCAACGGGTGGATCGAGGTGGATGAACAATCCGACCTGCAAGTGTTAGCGCCCCACGTGGGTAATGACGCACGGGGTGTATTGTACCTTCTGCCCTTCTGTGAGACCAAGAAGTCGTCCGAAAGTAGTGTCAAGCTCAATGGTTGATATGTCCTGCTCCCTGGAATATCCACTGTTGATACCGTTTCTGCCAACGACAGGCGCAAGCCTACGCTTGCTCGGCATACCCGTCCAACCGAGGAAGCATGACTGCTGCGGAGGAACTCCATTGGCCTTTCCGGAGGTCGATTTATATTGTAATTCGATAATGACATTCTGAGCAGTCTGATATAGCTAGACGTTAGCCGGAAATACTTCACGGAAACAGAACGATTAGTAGACTGACCGTGTTTGCATTGACCAGCAGAGCGACCAGCGACGGCGGTAGATTAACAAGACAGTTCTTGAGGGGGGTGAGGGCAACTTCGGCCGTCGCAGCAGGCTTCTTGGGTGCCATTTTGAAGCGCTGAATGATCGTGAGCACCGAAAGGACAAGGAGGGGGAACTGTGAACTCGGAGAGACACGACCCCGGACTCCACACTTGACCTCTCTTTCGCCTCGGCCCGATGAGGAGTCATGTGACGAATACGTCGATAGGATAAGCGGATAAAGTAATACTCCGAGAAGAATTGATACCTTTCCTATTTGGGTTAGTCTCATTTTTGAGCGCGTCCCGACCTCGCGTTCGCGTTTTACCTACGAATTTGGTAGGGGCTCGGATAGACACTAGACGGACCCTCTTCTCTATTTCTCTCCCGATCCCACTATTGACTCTTTGCGTTTTCAATTGAGCGCACTTGGTTACCATGTCTCTCCTTCAGTATCCCCCACCTGTGGATTATTCTGCGCAACTGAATGGCTTCAAGGATTTTTTGAAGGGGTTCAAGACCTTCCAATCGTCTTCGGAAGCTGCTGCGACCGAGGCATTGGAAGATCTGAACATCGATGACGGCCAAACTAGTGATGAATATGATTTCATGGATGATGCCGATGAGACCAATGGGGCAAACACCCGAGGAGCAAGGAGGCACCGGGAGCCGAAGCTCAAGTACATGCAAATTCTGCAGGATATCGCAAACCGGGATACATCTAACATCCTGATTGAGTTGGATGATCTTTCAGTTGTAAGTATCCAATATGAACCACTCTCACTAAATTCTAGCTCACAGTGGTGGCAATAGTTTGAGAAATCCATGCCCGAAGGAGAAGATCTAAAGCTCGTCGAATCTATCGAAAAAAACACAAAGCGCTATATCGATGTTATCTCTCAAGCGGTCGATGATGTTATGCCTACGGAAACAAAGGATGTCACGTATGTCCAATCTGTCTTTATGCGAATGCGCAGGGTGCTAAACTGATTATTCCTTCCACAGATTCAAGGATGATGTCCTTGATGTGATCATGTCCCAGCGTGAGAAGCGAAATGAGACTATGGAAACCGCAATGGAGGCCGATATGGAAGCTGCTGCGACCGCCCCATCCATGTTCCCTCCCGAGCTTACTCGCAGATATACCCTCAACTTCAAGCCCCTCACACCCTCGGGGTCTAGCGCCGAGCGCGATTCCAAAGCCCTCGCCGTCCGTTATGTGCGCGGTGAGCACCTAGGTAGCTTGATTACAGTCCGCGGCATCACCACCCGTGTCTCAGATGTCAAGCCGGCTGTACAGATCAACGCCTACACTTGCGATCGCTGTGGTTGCGAAGTGTTCCAGCCTATCACCACCAAACAATTCCTCCCTCTGACCGAGTGTCTGTCTGAGGAGTGTAAGAAAAACAACTCGAAGGGTCAGCTCTTCCTGTCAACTCGTGCATCGAAGTTTGTTCCCTTCCAGGAGGTGAAGATCCAGGAAATGGCCGACCAAGTCCCCGTGGGCCACATTCCTCGCACTTTGACTATCCACTGTCACGGCGCTCTGACTCGCCAACTGAACCCCGGTGACGTTATTGACGTCGCAGGCATCTTTTTGCCCACTCCCTACACTGGTTTCCGCGCTATTCGCGCTGGCCTGCTGACTGACACATACTTGGAGGCCCAGCACATCACCCAGCACAAGAAGTCCTACAATGAGATGGGCATGGACAGCCGTACTCTTCGCAAGATCGAGCAACACATGCGTTCCGGTAACATGTATGAGTACCTTTCACGATCAATTGCACCCGAAATTTACGGACATCTTGATGTCAAGAAGGCATTGCTATTGCTCCTGATTGGTGGCGTCACGAAAGAGATGGGTGACGGCATGCACATTCGTGGAGACATCAACATCTGCTTGATGGGTGACCCTGGTGTGGCCAAGTCCCAGCTTCTTCGATACATTACAAAAGTTGCTCCTCGTGGTGTGTACACCACCGGACGAGGAAGCAGTGGTGTCGGTCTCACCGCCGCAGTCATGAGAGATCCCGTCACAGATGAGATGGTGCTGGAGGGAGGTGCTCTTGTTCTTGCCGACAACGGTATCTGCTGTATTGATGAGTTCGACAAGATGGAAGACTCGGACCGGACAGCTATTCACGAAGTGATGGAACAGCAGACTATCTCCATCTCCAAGGCCGGTATCACAACTACCCTCAACGCCCGTACTTCCATCCTGGCCGCAGCCAACCCGCTATATGGTCGCTACAACCCCCGGGTGTCACCCGTGGAGAACATCAACCTTCCCGCCGCTTTGCTCTCTCGTTTCGATGTCATGTTCCTGCTTTTGGATACCCCGTCCCGCGAGGGCGACGAGGAGCTGGCTCACCACGTCACCTACGTCCATATGCACAACAAGCACCCAGAGAGTGAAGAAGCCGGCGTGTTGTTCACTCCCCACGAGGTCCGGCAGTACGTTGCCAAGGCACGCACATTCCGTCCTATTGTGCCTACCAACGTTTCTGACTACATGGTTGGTGCTTATGTGGCCATGCGCAAGAGACAAAAGATCGACGAGTCCAAGAAGAGACAGTTCTCTCACGTCAGTCCCCGTACTCTGCTCGGTATCGTTCGACTTTCACAGGCACTTGCTCGTCTTCGCTTCAGCGAGGAGGTTGTTCGCGAGGATGTCGATGAGGCTCTGCGTCTCATTGAGATCAGTAAGGCTTCTCTATACAATGATGGCGAGCAGGGCGCCGACAACACCCCATCCAGCAAGATCTACAACTTGATCCGCAGCATGAAGGAGAGTGGTGCTGCTGCCGTTGGAGATGGTGAGGAAGGTGAGATGAGCATGAGACGTATTCGTGAGCGTGTGCTGGCCCGAGGCTTCACTGAGGATAACCTCACCATGACTATCGATGAATATGCTGAGATGAACGTAAGTTTTGATAATTCCAGGAGCTTGCTGTGCTTTTTTACTAACAACATTTTCTACAGCTCTGGCAAGTCACTGGCAACGGCACACGTCTGCTCTTCACTGAGGTTGACGGCGATATGGACATGTAACTGTGAAAATCACTTATTCTGTTTTTTTTTCTTTCTCTTAAATGTCGATCGGGCTTTTTATACGTGTTAAGATGCATGTGAAACTGGCTGGAATAAAGGCGACGGGTGTTTGGGTGTATTGGGGGACTGGAGCTGGTTGATATGATTTCGTAAGGTCAATTAAGAAGATATTTCCTATCTACTTGTTTAATCTGCATTTGCATCTATCTTAATTTTTCATTCAAATCATTTTCAATTAATTATGGACTGACACATGTACACACATGCAATTGGCCAGAATATCTCCTTCCACCCGCTACCAACACACTCACTCCTACCCCGGACCGTTATTCTAGGCCTCGCATTGATGTTGAAGCTTGACCTCCTTGCAAAGATTGGAAGGAGCAGCATATATATCATCACATGGAATGTTGCAAGCCGTGCCCTCGGGAACGAAAACAAGGAACTCATAGTTCGGCATCGGCAGGCGGAACTGATAGGACAAGTCGCTATTGTACTGAGAGGCCTTATAACCAGCACGGCAAGCGCAGTGGAAAGATTTTCCCGTGTTGATACACGAGGTCGAGGGATCACACCAGTTCTTGCCTGAGATAGGATTGCAGGTGCCACACTGGTCCCCTGGCGACGGGTCAGCGGTCACCAGGGAGGCGGTGGTGATGATCAAGGCGATGATGGAGAAATGCATCTTGGTGGATGGTTGGATTGTTGAGTATAGACTTAGAATAGATATGGTGTGTTCTGTCTGGGGATTGGTTTCTGATGGCGTTATCTTCTGCTGGGAGATTCGCTCATCTTATATAGTCGTCTCCAAGGATATATATATTTCTGTGTATTATTGGGCTCGGTGGTCCGTTGTTCTGGAATATGTTGTTCGCCATGTTCCCTGCGGAGCCCATCATCGTTGTGCTGCATCACAGGGTCATTTTCAGCCGGTACCACGCTTGGCATTATCGAAATATCACCGGTTGACCTCTGTAATCGTGTATAGGCTCTTTATCTGATGTCCTCTGGTTGGATGGGACGGGATGCGAAAACAACCGGGGTTGTGAATACGAGGTCTGGAACAATGCCTCGAAACACCACCAATGCTTATCAGCTAAGGTGATGTCAATGACACCTTGACTCAACATTGCCTTTGAGAAGAACGACTGTCCAGGTTTTGGAATATCAATTCGACGGAATGCTTGAGGCGGGGTACATGTCTCAGGCCTATCCCTTTAGCGACGTTCAGATCTCGACGTCAACAGCCATGTAGACAGAAATGTGGAGATTTTGACTTGCCAAGGTGGATGTCTCATGTTGCTTGGAGATTTATTTACGAGCTTGTCGTATTGCTTTCGATCTGGTCAGGCCTATGCAAGTAAATTTCTCTTCCACAGGGCTTTTGGAGCATGACGAAAGCCAGATTAAAGCAAGCAAGACAGCAGAAGTTGGCCACTGGTTGTTCGAGATTGAGGCAGGGTCTCTGATACGTTGTTTTTGGTTTCTATTCACTCTGCATGCCATCAAGGGTAAGGGTTTAAGGTGCCCATGGAAACATCTCTTCCATTGTTGGACCTGCTCAAAGCCAATACTCCGAGTCTGCGTGGTGATGTCGTGTTGTCAGGCGATCTTTATTGGCCGGTAGTATAATATTCTCACCTAATAGACTGCGATCGGGACCGATTTAAGGCCCAAGTGTCAGCATCAGCACTGAAAGACGAGGGCTGACCATGCTAATCAATGGGTTATTGAAACCCGAGATTCACATACTATGAGGTGTTTCTGTATGTCAGGTGAAATGCAAAGAAAGATGCCCTATGCTACCATATAACACCACTGGCATAAGTCAGTGCGGTTGAGATTGCAATGTCGGAGTCCGGCTTTTTAGTATGAAATGCAGGGTTCGAGACTCTTCTTTTGGTAACTATAGACACCTTCTGAGAACCACCATAAAAGAGGACGAGAACATCTTTCATTGGCTTAGGTTTACGTACAGCTTAGATACATGGAAATATGCCCCGGTGTGTTCAACAGCTACACTGTCTTCCTTGTAAATGAATGCATGGCTATGAACCTTACACACGGTAGCCTAGAGGTGCGTCTTAGATCCGTCTGGCTCTCCAATCAGTCTCAAAAACGCCCCGTGAACCTCATCTGTCAAATCGCTAGCCTGCATGCTCCGCCCCTTGGTCGCAAAGGCTCGTCGCGAGCACTCTCGTGTAATGCTACTTCCCGCCCAAGCCACCAATAGCAGAGTCGTTGTCGGGGACATGCGCTTGTTCTCAGAATCGAGCTCTGCCTGAACATCTTCCTTGCTCTGCGCTTCCTTCTCATTTTCCTGCTCCCCAGAGTCCCATAATTTGTTATGGTAAGCGGCTCGCCAGGCAAGGAATGTGCCCAATGATCCGGTTAGAGTGTCTCCTTGACCGCCACTGCGCTTCAAGCCACCCTTGCTATCAGAGATGATACTAGTAACCCCGTTGGAGATCACATCTTGAGGGCCCTTTTGGATAATCGTGACGCCGCCGAGGGCTTGAGATAGCTGCTCACACGCTTCTGATGCTTTGCTGGTGGTGTCGCCATTTCCACTTTCCGCAATTTCCACTTGGCTAGCAACCTCGATGCCCAGCACTTTGGCTAACCGGCCAAACTCTACCACGTTTGGCGTGAGAATGCACTCCTTGTAGCCTTTGACCAGGTTCGGGTCTTGCGTCACAATCAGCAATCCATCTGCGTCTAGTACAAATGGGATCGATCGTGACCGCGCCTCTCTGATCACTTCTGCGACTACCTTTATGGTCACGTCGTCTCGGCCAAGACCGGGTCCTATCACAAGTGCATGGAGGCGAGATAGCATCGCGATGATCGGACCTGCCAGTGATGGTGCATCAATTGAATTGGGATCCTTAACAGTTTCGCTGCTTGGAAGCAATGGGTGTACCATCAAATTGGGAGAGTATCCCTTGATAACCTGTGCATTACAATTTTAGAGTGGATTCAATCTAGGCCGGATGCTAGCTTACTGGTGCTGCGGATCGTTCGCAGAGTACGTGGCTCTGGTGGTTGTCAGTCGTTTGCAGAAGGTATGTCATCTTTCGCACATACCATATCACATCCTACAATTCTAGAGTTAACATCTTTGGCTGAGAGCATGGGCCTGTTCAGGGGACGTACCAAGTCTTGCAGAAGCCATAGCTGAAAAGTATGGAGCTCCAGTGTAGCTTATGCCAGTTAGTTGGATACCAGTGTCAACTAGGCAGAGGACCTACTCAACACAACCCCCGATCACGGCTACACGGCCGAGCTGTCCTAAACTAATAGTCAACGGGGATATTCATTGCGTGGTAGACGGGGACCTAATTAACAAACCTTTGTGGAACTTTTCAAGCATTGGAGGTACAATCTTACGCACCTTGCTGAAGAGCATCTTTGATGAGACCGAGACATGATGAACGGACTCCATTGTGAAATTACAAAATTGCGAAATTGTAGTATGTGAGTATGTGAGTGTGAATATGTGAAACTGTTATGCTACAGGGCTGGGAGGTTAATACACGGGTGATGTCACCTGCCAGTGGGGCCTAGACAGCTTGTTTGGAGTTGGCTGTGACCTCGGGATATCATGCCGATGACTTAAGATAAAATCCAAGGTTGACTACAACATACAATAACTAACTATACAAAACAGAAAAGATAGTACAAAAAAAAAAAATAGTTGAGATTGAAAGAGCGCTCGCTATTGATGGTGCTTAAAAGCAAAAGCTAAAAAAAAAAATTGAAGGCATCCCCGTCTATGGACACCCCGAACGCTCATAATGCGGAGTTAATATGTAGTCCTACCCAAAACAAAAGAGATCATGGAAACGGGTCACAAGTAAAAAAAAGGTGGAAAAAGTGAAAAAGGTGAAAACTGGACAGTAAAAATGTCCAAACTTCAACGCTTATTCCTGGAAGCAAGAGCGGCCAACTTCCGCTGGCGCTCCAACTTCTCTTTCTTAGCCGCCATTTCTGCTCGCAGCTCTTTCTCGTCCTCCCGTTTGGCAAATTCCAATGCAGCCGCCTCTTCGCGGTCCACATCGTCCATTCCAGCCTCCATGTCGGACGATGCATCGGAATAGTAACCATCGTAGTCACCGAGGTCACCCTCATCCTCTTCGTCAGTTCCGAGATATTCGTTCTGTCGGGAATTGCGAGCCTGAGGTCGACGGTCACTTCCACCCCGGTTTGACGGCAGACCCGCAGTTCCACGGTAGACAGGCGGCTCAGGAGTCTGCGTCGGTTTGGCCGTGCCCTTATATGAGGGCCCCTCGGAATCGCGCTGCCGGACAACAGGTTTACCCTTGGCAGAAACACCCGACCCAGCCTTCCTTCCCGAACGCTCTTCTTTTTCTTTGGCCTTGAGTTCCATCATGCGCCGCTTGCGCTCCACTTTGGTAAGTCTTTCTTTGGGACCGGCTTGGTGTCGTAGCAAGCCTACTCCCACAGGCGCCGTCTCTTGCTTAGCCTTTGCCTGCGCCATGATCTCCGCAAATGATCCCTTTGGTGGCGGTTTCGAGGCTGTGGCAGCGCTTGCCGATGTGGGTTTGGGGCCGGGCTCTTTCCGTGAGGGTGCCACTTTTGGGGCCGCAGCCAAGCTTGGTTTGGGGGTTGGCTTAGGTATAGTTGGCCTAGAGGTGGTGGTCGAGACTGGTTTGGACACAACTCTGGGTGGTGCTGATGATACCGCTGGCCTTGTAGCGAGCTTAGGCTTCATTTCAGCAGAGTTATTTGTCGCCTTGCTTTCAGGTTTTGGTGGGCGAGGCAGCTGGTCCTCAGCTTTGCGCTTGATCCCTCCACTGACATTCCCACTGGTCGGAGGCGCCCGACGCACAGCTGTCGGTTTTTGATCCTCCTTTTTAGGGGTCGAAGCAGGCGCAGGTGAGGTAGGCGCCTGGGAGAGTGGGGATTGGGAGGGCTTACCCGTCTGGAGAGACGAGAGGACAGAATCGAGGAACTATGTTATGTCAGTCAAAGTGAGGTGAAACGAACAGAAGGATCAGGTAGCATACACTCATTTTGATTGCAGGGGGAATAACCCGAAGGGTGTGAGGTTGAAGAGTGGTACAGAGAAGAAGTCGCTCACCGTCGATATTTGGTACGACTAAGTAACTTCATGACTCCGAGCCCGATAGCATGAGAATAGATCTCTGGCTTGGCTCGCTCCGGATTTTCTGTTATTCCAATAAAACAGAACTAGCAGAAGTAAAGGACACGCCTGACGTGGCCCAAGAACTTTCCAAGTGAGATGTATAAACTCTGTAGACGAGTAGGGAAAGTAGACAGATTTCTGGCCAGCATGCAATTATACAAGGCCGGGACATGAAAGAGTCACGTGGTAGCAAATACTGCGCCACAGCACTCGCTTAGAAGGCCCGCCTACACTAGCCACACCCACTCGCACCACCTTTTTTTCAGGATTTTGATCGCTCGGTTAATCCTTCGTCAACCAACCTCTTCCACCAGAACTCGACGTTGCAGTCTCCGCCCAATTCGCGGTTAAATCGATTGTTTCTCTTGTTCAGATAATAATCACAAACGGTATGTACATCTCGTTTTCGTGCCTCTCAACTGATTTCTCGGCTCGAGAAGTGCGATCGCATTCGATCTTGAATTCGCGATACTAACGAAGATTTTTTTTTTTGTCTAGTCCTTTCAAAATGAAGT